CTGAACCTTTGTTAGTGTCAATTTGGGTGTTCAACTTTCGAGGTCACGAGTGTGATTCCCCCCTCCAGTTTTGTGCTGCTTTGGAAGTTTTCATGTCGTTTACTCCCCACCCTGCGATCTCCTTTGTAGTTTCAAAGATTCGATCATCCTGATAAATTTTGGTTTTTTTGTCTAGGTCTCGATTCGTATCCAAGCAAGAAAAGTTTTATCCTCGTTGTACTCCAAGAAATACCGGCCCTCAGTCGCGTGATACTCCACCAAAAAGAGGTAATTTACATTACTTGAAGACGCTAATTTTCTTGCACAAACCTTCTTCTGTTCTTGTCCCTCGCAATTGCCCTGAAAGTTCTATCGTGCTTACTCATGCCGCTCTTGATTTGGATATCTAACCAGACATATTTGTTTTTTATCTCGTGGTTTTGTAAACCTAGACACCGGGATTGCAAATGAAAAGGATTGGGGCATCGATTTGTTAAATGAAAACGTGAACGAGTCCGGCACTAACGAAGACGGCAGCACTTGGTATAGAGAAAGTGGGCAGGACTTGGGAGAGAACGGGTTCAGATGTAGGTGGACAAGGATGGGAGGTCGATCCCACGATGGCTCTACGGAGTGGACAGAAACGGTAAACTTTTTTTCTCCACTTAGATGCATAGCTGATCTCGAGTGAGCCACCGTTTAAAAACTCAGGAGTGATAGCCCATCCGTTGCAATAGCAAGTGCTTAAATGAAGACTCAGGTTATTTCTTGTAACCCCATGAAGTATCATCCCAGGTGGATGCGTTTAATCGGATTTATTGATATCCTTGACAGTGGTGGGAGAAAAGTGACTGGAGCGGATACAAAGAGCTAGGTATGATGCTCCCATTCTCCTGAAAATCTTTTCATTTTTTTTGTAAGTTGTAACCTCTTGTCTCAATTGATGGTCAAAAAAACTGGAAAGAGTTTCGGAAAACTGGTTAAAGTATTTACCACTCAAACTATTTGGAACCTCAATTTGGTTATTCCCTGCTATTGGTAATGTATGAGCTGGCTAATCGTGTTATGAGATGGTTTTGTGATTCTTACTGTTTCTTTCCTCCTTTTCCCATGTTAACTTATTGCTCGCTCTAAAAGTGTATCAAATGCTCACAGGTGTGGAGAAATCTGGTCGAAATGCTGAGGGTGATTCTTGGTGGGAGACATGGCAAGAAGTCCTTCATCAAGACGAATGGAGGTCTATGTTCTAACATTCCATTCTATCGGAATAGCACCCTTGCTAAAGTTTCTCCCATTGGTAAAAATGAGTTTCTGTTAACCTCTCACAGTTCTCTCACCCACAGTTATCAAATTTCAGTAATTTGGCAAGGATAGAGAGAAGTGCTCAGAAGCAAGCAAAATCAGGAACCGAAAATGCTGGTTGGTACGAGAAATGGTAGGTTAATAAGATACTCCGTTTTGGTGACATTTGTTTGTTTCCGACAGTTCAGACATCTTATATTGTCGAATAAAACCACCTTTTTGCTTAAACAAGGTGGGAGAAGTATGATGCTAAAGGCTGGACAGAGAAAGGAGCGCATAAATACGGTAGACTGAATGAACAGTCATGGTGGGAGAAGTGGGGAGAGCATTTCGACGGAAGAGGATCTGTTCTCAAATGGTTTTCTCTAGCTGCATCTTACTCGTGTCAATCACTTCAGTCGTCGTTATAGTATAGCTCTTAAAGACGCCTATAACCCACAACCATCCTAGTTACTATAACCTAAATACCTCAGGCACTTAAGATCAAAAGCATTCTGTCTATACGTGAATAAATGGATACGAACTCGGCAGAGTCAGTGATCTCCATTAAAGTAAGTTGTTGTAATTATCTGTATCGGTGAATAATTCAGGACAGACAAGTGGGCGGAGACCGAGCTGGGAACCAAATGGGGGGACAAGTGGGAAGATAAATTCTTTGCCGGGATAGGTTCACGCCAGGGTGAGACATGGCACGTATCACCCAGCGGCGAACGTAAGTTCCCTTATTTTCTCCTACCTTCCCCTTGTACGTCTTCTATCTCGTCTCTCTTATCTAAAACTCTTCATCTTTTACGTCTCTAGGCTGGTCCAGGACTTGGGGGGAGGAACACTTTGGAAACGGGTACTAATATTGCAGTTTTATCTACACCCACCTTGATGTCAAATGGTTAGCCGTAATGACGTAGAAAAGACTATTTTAACCTTGGCTTGGTTACAGGAAGGTTCACAAGTACGGGAAGAGCACGACGGGGGAAAGCTGGGATATAGTTGTGGATGAAGAAACATACTACGAGTGAGAAACGTACCATGAGTAGATAAATTTTTAAACGCGAAATCATGTGAAGTTATCTTACCCGGAATCTGTTTTGGTGAAGGGCTGAGCCTCATTACGGGTGGGCAGACGTTGTGGGCGATTCGACACAGTTGCTATCGATCCAACCCCGGGAGAGGCCGCCCGGTGTATTCCCAAACCTCGAGTTTGGGCCGTCTCCGCCTCCTGAGCCAGACCAACCACGGCCCGAGCCACCCCAGCAATGACACGGGGGTTTGGTTAGTTATATATTAGCTCCATGGCTTTCGGCTTTGTGCTCTGTTTTTGGCCATTTGATAATTCTTTGAAGTTGGGTCATCGAACTCCGAAGAGAGAATGCTGTGAATTTATGGTTTTCTATTTTGAGTTTTTCATTCTCTCCGTCTTGTGTGTTAATGTTATCATATCAGTTGAAAAAGACCGGTTAGATTTTTCATGAATTCCTTACGCTCGAAGGAAACATGTATGTCTTTCCTGTTCGGCATGTGCTTTTAATTTAGGGCCGATTCGGATCTGGTCCAAAAGTTGTCTGTAACAAGCCCAAGTGTAATTTTTTTTTTCCAGGTAAAAAGGCCCGAACAACATATTTGCAGGCAGCTTACAGTCACAAGGCATCTTGCCTTATTCAAACCATTTAAGCAAAAAGATAAAAAACCCTAAAAAAGACGGGAGTTGTCTAAATCTCCCGTTACCCAGAGTTTCCGGGCTACATCCATATTCTGGTTTGTTGTGACCGGAAGATGGGTGGCCGGTGCTATACCACAAGCTGGTGTTTTCAGGTTTGAGGCCTCTAGATTCTACCACGCCACACCGGTTGAGGAGGGTCTGGCACAGTTTATAAACTTTTGCCTGAGTTTGTCGGAAATGGGAGTCTTGGACAAGGATGGTCTGGAATTTCCTACCGAAGGTGATCATGGATTCGAAAATATTTTGGAATTTTGAGTAGAGAATCATCGATTAAATAGTCAAGATGTTTGATCGTATAACTCACTAAAACGTGAGAACAAAAATCTTACAACAGTCAACCGACTCTGTGTTTTCCGTCCGAGGAGAGATTTTTTGTGTCTTCTCTTCTCTCAAACAAAAGAAAAAAAACTGACGAAACATGTACAGATTCCTACAAACTGAGATTAAAAATGCCATCATCTGATGAGTTTAGAGATGAGATTGACGAAGAACGCTTCACTGCATGGGATTATGAGTCCGCCCGTGGGGTGTTCGAACCCGAACTCCTCCTCGGATATTCTCAGCAGATCTTGAAACGAAGGCTGATTCAAGAATGATATGAGAACCAAGAATCTCTTCTTCTGGCTCTCCCCGACATAAACCGAAAGGTACCCCTTTGGAACATTGACTGAGTTTGAGGGTGTGAATGACTTCGCTTGCCGGAAAATTTGTTTAGGCTGCAACACACGAAGAGCTCGGAAAGCCATGGATGGATCTTGGTGTACGTTATTGGTCTTCTGTTTCTCCTAACAGAGAAGATTTGAACTGAAGCTTTGTTGTTTACTCTGAAGATATGAGAAATGCTTGGCGTATCTCAAGTGTTGATACACATGTACTTATAGATGCAATTGTATGGCTTATTAGAGCAATGTTGCTAAAAAGCATCATCACATGGTTTGGTCTCAGAATTCGGCAGTGAAGGAGATTTGACTGTTTTTGCCAATCTTTTCAAATAATCTGCAGGACCATTACCTACAACTATGGGCCCTGAAAGTGAAGCAGCTGGAGTCTCTGTGGACAAATCCACGTGATACCCTTTAAGTTTGGCCTTTGAAAATTTCAATCTTTTTCTTGTCTATTGCCTTTGCATGTGATACTGTCTTCCAGCTTCAGAGTGACAGAAACTTGTTGCTCTGTTGAGCTTCAGGTCCCGCAGAAGTTGTTTTCAGATAGATTTAAATGCTCTCACAGAATCTGGACAGAACGTTAAAGAACAACACATGCAAGTCTCTGTAATGGACAATCATGCAAGATTCAGGAAGACAAGAACATGTGAACTCTCCCCCTTGCAGGTTCTTGTAGGCCATAGCCTTCAATCCTTGGGGCTTTCAACTCTCTCGTTGATTATCTTTATATATACTTCTCCAAAGTTCATTCCCAGAACACAACCATCTCTTCCAAACCAATATAGAAAAAAAACTCCATCTTTTCCAAAACCCATCTGCAGAAGAAGCACTATAACCAGACATTTTCTGACCAATAAAAAAAATGGCTCTGATGAGAGGCCTCATGGGTGCAAAGAAGATCCTAAGCAGAGGAGCTTCTGCTCCAAAGGGATTCCTTGCTGTATATGTGGGGGAGAGCAAGAGAACGAGGTATTTGGTCCCGATTTCGTACTTGAATCAGCCCGCATTTCAAGCTCTGCTTAGTAAAGCAGAAGAAGAGTTCGGTTTCGATCATCCGACTGGCGGCTTGATGATCCCTTGTCCGGAAGCCCTTTTCATGGATGTAACTTCCCGGCTCGGAGGAAGATGACCCTGAGGAAACATGAACGTTTTTTCTTTTTTTTTCCCCGATGTAAAGACGGAGAATTAGATGTAAATAGATACACACTTCTTTCTCATATCTACATATGGATACCGCTTTTTGTGTAACAGAAGAGAGTGTCAACACAGAGTACAGAGATTGTATTTTATGAGTTCACTTCCTAACAAGTATTCGACATATCTGTTTCTTTTCTCTCAAGAAACTCAGAAAAAGCACAAGGTTCTAAGAAGCAGTTTCCGATTATATTATCTTCTCCAAGACGAATAGAAAATGAGAAAGTGAGAGTTACCGAAACCTCGACAGAACATCATTGATCAAACAAAGCTGCCAGGTTCAGTTGGCCTTCGAATTCGACACTCGGCTTCTCCCTTGTGGGTGATGAAATTGGTTAGAAACCCAGGTCGTTGTCTTTCTAACCCAAGAGATAAATCACACATGTGCTGGAACGTCTGGATGAACATTGGATTCACATACAGTCCATTCCATGGGGAACGTTAAGAACTCTCCATGTGTTGTCTCGAGTCTTGACCTTTTCGGTTGGAAGATATCATGAATTTGAATCTCTGTCAAGTTTTAAATCAAAGAACATCAATTACTCAGAATCTTGCATCTTACAACTCACCGAAAAGTCGGGAAAAAGATTTACGTTACATGTTAGTTACGAAACAATTAATGATCAGGAAATAAAATCTGCAAAACTGATATTGTTGCGTCGTGAAATTTTGAGTTGAGATCCACGAATACTTCTTCACTGCAGGTATTGTGAGTCCAGCCATCGGGTGACCAAATCGAAACTTATTCCTCGGGTTTTGTCAGCAAATCGTGAACCAAAGGCTGGTTTCAAGAACCAGGAATCTCTTCTTCTGGCTCTCCCCGATGTAAACCGGTATGTACCCCTTTGGAATATCATCCGTGAATAATTTGGAATTGCCGGAAAGCCATGGATATGATGTGTAAGTTTCTTCTTTTCTAACAAAGATGATAGCTTTCTTGTGTTTCACGAGAAGTAAGTGTTGAGGATCGAGGAGACATGGACGAAGATCGAGACCGAGGTGTGTGCTCAAGTCGAGAAAAGATAGAACAACTTTCTTCACCAACACTTAACATGCCGAAGACTTGGACACATTCAGAGGGTTTAGAAGGAGGGTTTTGAAAAAGGGAACACAAACATCCAAGAATCATGCAGATACACTCACGCATCAATCAAGGTCGCATTTGAGGAGCTAATAGGAACACTCCTGCTGATTTGAATATTGTAATTTTTGGAATTTTGAATAGAGAATCATCGATTAAATAGTCAAGATGTTTGATCGTGTATAACTCACTAAAACGTGGGAACAAAAATGTTACAACAGTCAGCCGACTCTGTGTTTTCCGTTCGAGGAGAGATTTTTCTGTCTTCTCTTCTCTCAAACAAAAGAAATAAAACTGACGAAACATGTACAGATTCCTACAAACTGAGATTAAAAATGCCATCATCTGATGAGTTGAGAGATGAGATTGACGAAGAACGCTTCACTGCATGGGATTGTGAGTCCACCCGTGGGGTGATCGAACCCGAACTCCTCCTCGGATATTCTCAGCAGATCTTGAAACGAAGGCTGATTCAAGAATGATATGGGAACCAAGAATCTCTTCTTCTGGCTCTCCCCGACATAAACCGAAAAGTACCCCTTTGGAACATCGACAGAGTTTGAGGGTGTGAAGGACTTCGCTTGCCGGAAAATTTGCTTTGGCTGCAACACACGAAGAGCTCGGAAAGCCATGGGTGGATCTTGGTGTACGTTCTTGTTCCTCTGTTTCTCCTAATAGAGAAGATTGGGACTGACGCTTTGTTGTTTACTATGAAGATATGAGAAGTGCTTGTGTAGCTCAGCTATTCAGTAGACATGTACTTATAGATGCATTGGTATGGCTAAGAGTAATTTTAGCTAAAAAGCATCGTCACATGGTTCGGTCTCTCACCCCCCAAGAATTCGGCAGTGATGGGGACTTGACAGTTTTGCCAGTCTTCTGACTAAGATTGGCCATTGAAATTTCCAAGCCTTTCCTATTTTCTAGTCCAAGGCCTTTGCATGTGATACTGTCTGCCAACTTCATAAGGACAGAGACTTGTTGCCCTGTTGGTAATCGGCTTCAGGTCCCACATAAGTTCATTTCAGATAGATTTGAATGCTCTTGCGAAATCAGGACAGAGCATTGAAGTCATGAGGAAGAGAACATCCAAGTCCATGTCACGGACAAGGGCATGCGATGGATGATGATTTTCATAATTTATTCCAAAAGCAGCGAGAGGACAAACCCTTGTGGAGTGCATATGCGGTTGTCCAATGACAATTATAATCTCAGAAATGATGATGGACCCTCTTTACCATAGCATCCGTCGTTTATCCATGAAGGCAATCGTAAACACTCAGGGCTTATCATCAGGGAGACAGGAACATGTGAACTCTCCCCCTTACATGTCCTTGTAGGCCACAGCTTCAATCCCCAGAGCTTTCAACTCTCTCTCTGAATATCTTTATATATACTTACTTCTCCAAGGTTCATTTCCAGAACACAACCATCTCTTCAACCCAATATATATATAAAAAAAACTCCATCTTTTCCAAAACCCATCTGCAGAAAATGGCTCTGATGAGAAGTATTTTGAGTGCAAAGAAGATTCTAAGCAGAGGAGCCTCAGCTCCAAAGGGCTTCCTTGCTGTATATGTGGGGGAGAGCAAGAGAACGAGGTATTTGGTCCCGGTCTCGTACTTGAATCAGCCCGCGTTTCAAGCTCTGCTCAGTAAAGCAGAAGAAGAGTTCGGTTTCAATCATCCTACGGGCGGCTTGATGATCCCTTGTCCCGAAGCCCTTTTCATGGATGTAACTTCCCGGCTCGGAGGAAGACGACCCTGAGGAAACATGAACGTTTTTTCTTTTTCTTTTTCCCGATGTAAAGACAGAGAATTAGATGTAGATAGATACATCTTTTTGTGTAACAGAGGAGAGTATCAAACACAAAGTGCAGAGTTTGTATTTTATGAGTTCACTTCCTAACAAGTATTCGACATATCTGTTTCTTTTCTCTCAAGAAACTCAGAAAAAAAAGCACAAAGCTCATCTCAATAAAGTTCTAAGAAGCAGGTTTCAATTGTATTAACTTCTCCAAGAGAATAAATTCTCGAAACCTCGACAGAACATCTTTGATCAAACAAAGCTGCCGGATTCTCCCTTGAGGGTGATGAAACTGGTTAGAAATCCAGATCTTGATCTTTCTATTTTGCAAACCTTAGAGATCAATTATACAAGGGCTTAAACGTCTCCGTCGAAAAGATCGAAACTCTAGATGAACATTTTCCCCACAAGCGCACGGTGGATTCAGGTCCATTCCAAGGAAATTAAGAACTCTCCATGTGTTGTCTTGAGCTTTCTAACTCCTAACTTCGGTGGATTCATGAAACATAACAACTTTGTTATGTCCGAAGCTGAAAACGTCCAAGCTTCTGAAGAAATTTGTGCCTCAGATCCATCTGAATTGGTTTACCCATCGTTGTTAACCATATAACCCATATCATCCGGAAGAATCTCATTCAAAGAGTGAATTTCTGGATTTTGAACGGTGGATCGTTGGTGATCGAATGAAAACCCGAATCATTCCACAACAAATTATGTTCATGGTTGGAAAGAATCGAGTACTTGTAGACGAATACACTGTTGTCGATCATACCGTTCCAATCCTTGCATACCAATCTGAATTGAGCCAGAGATTTGGCCGGAATCCTTAAAATGTATTTCTTTGACGAAATCCCGTGGGACTCGAACGACGTTATCTCCCCTTGGATCAGAAGAATTTGCAAAAAGGGTTGAACTGAATTGCATTCGCAAGAAATCACGTGAAGGGTTGAAACAAGGAATGAGAGATAATTTGACGCAGATAATTTAGAACAAGAAACTCAATATAAGGTTTTAGGAAGTTGCAAAGGCTGGAAGTTCACGCGAACGGTTGCTCTATAAGACAACATTTATGGCTGTCAAAAACTTGTTGCAAATTGTTTTTTTTTTCTGTAATCCTATTTGATTCATAAATCATGTTGCTTGTGTGTTATGTGGTGTGATAAAGGTGTGTTGCCGAACCTCTTTTTTTAAAACAGAGGGTAATGCGTTCAAGGTTTCAACAATGTGTAGAAATTTACGGAATGATATCTTTATTCATAATCAGAATAACATATAAATAGATGAGAGTCTTACATCGAATAAGTAAACTAAATAAAATAATAAATATTTTTAAATATATATTTTTCGGATTTGATAAGATTGATATATCTCGTAATATTCTTCAAGATCCGGTATATGTCAACACAATGGAACAACACTTCACTGGAGACATTGTGAGTCCACCCATCAGGTGATCAAACCGAAACTTATTCCTCGGGTTTTGTCAGCAAATCGTGAACCAAAGGCTGGTTCAAGAACGATACTTGAATGATTTGGCATTGCCGGAAAATTTGCTAAAAAAGGAGACGAGGAGGGTTTGGTACAGTTTGTAACTTTTTGCCTTGGACACGGATTTCCTGTCGAAAAAGTGATCATGAATTCAAATATTTTGGAATTTCGAATATCTATTAAATAGTCAAGATCTTTGATCGTATAACTCTCTAAAACGTGACAACAAAAATGTTACAACAGTCAAGCGACTCTGTGTTTTTCATCCTAGGAGAGATTTTTCTGTCTTCTCTTCTATCGGGAAAAAAAAAACTGAGGAAAAATGTACATGTTCTTCTGAGAAAACATTTTCTACAAACTGAGATTAATAATGCCATCATCTGATGAGTTTAGAGATGAGATTGACGAAGAACGCTTCACTGCATGGGATCGTGAGTCCACCCGTTGGGTGATCGAACCCGAACTCCTCCTCGGATTTTCTCAGCAGATCTTGAAATGTAGGCTGATTCAAGAAAGATATGGGAACCAAGAATCTCTTCTTCTGGCCCTCCCCGACATAAGCCGAAAAGTACCCCTTTGGAATATCAACTGAGTTTGAGGGTGTGAACGACTTCGTTTGCCGAAAAATTTGCTTTGGCTGCAACACACGAAGAGCTCGGAAAGCCATGGATGGATCTTGGTGTACGTTCTTGTTCTTCTGTTTCTCCTAACAGAGAAGATTGGGACTGAAGCTTTGTTGTTTACTCTGAAGATATGAGAAGTGCTTGGTGTATCTCAAGTGTTGGTACACATGTACTTATAGATGCAATCGTATGGCTTATTAGAGCAATGTTGCTAAAAAGCATCATCACATGGTTTGGTCTCAGAATTTGGCAGTGAAGGAGATTTGACTGTTTTTGCCAATCTTTTCAAATAATCTGCAGGACCATTACCTACAACTATGGGCCCTGAAGTGATGAAGCAGCTGGAGTCTCTGTGGACAAATCCACATGATACCCTTTAAGTTTGGCCATTGAAAAATTTCAATCTTTTTCTGGTCTATTGCCTTTGCATGTGATACTGTCTTCGAACATCAGTTGTTTTCAGATAGATTTGAATGCTCTCACAGAATCTGGACAGAACGTTAAAGAACAGCACATGCAAGTCTCTGTAATGGACAATCATACAAGATTCAGGAAGACAATAACATGTGGACTCTCCCCCTTACATGTTCTTGTAGGCCACAGCCTTCAATCCTTGGGGGCTTTCAACTCTCTCGCTGAATATCTTTATATATACTTCTCCAAAGTTCATCCCCAGAATACAACCATCTCTTCCAAACCAATATATAAAAAAAACATCTTTTCCAAAACCCATCTGTAGAAGAAGCACTATAACAAGACTTTTCTGCTAAAAAATGGCTCTGATGAGAGGTCTCATGAGTGCAAAGAAGATTCTAAGCAGAGGAGCTTCTGCTCCAAAGGGCTTTCTAGCTGTATATGTCGGGGAGAGCAAGAGAACGAGGTATTTGGTCCCGGTTTCATACTTGAATCAGCCCGCGTTTCAAGCTCTGCTCAGCAAAGCAGAAGAAGAGTTCGGTTTCAATCATCCGACAGGCGGCTTGATGATCCCTTGTCCGGAAGCCCTTTTCATGGATGTAACTTCCCGGCTCGGAGGAAGACGATCCTGAGGAAACATGAACGTTTTTTCTTTTTTTTTCCCCAAGGCGAATTAGATGTGAATAGATACATACTTCTTTCTCATTTCTACATTGGAGAGAAATTCATTGTGAAAACCGCTTTTTGTGTAACAGAAGAGAGTTTCAACACAAAGTACAGAGTTTGTATTTTATGAGTTCACTTCCTAACAAGTATTCAACATATCTGTTTCTTTTCTCTCTAGATTTTTGCTCATCAAACTCGAAAAAATACAAAGCGTTCTCCAAAATGAATAGAAAATGAAAAAGAGTTCAGATAAGAACATCATTGCTCAAACAAAGCTGCCAGATTCTTCCTTGAGGGTGATGAAACGTCTCGGACGAAAAGATCAAAACTTTGGATGAACATTTCCCCGAAAACGTACGGTGGATTCACGGTCCATTCCAGGGAACGCAAACTCCTTTTTCCCTTAACATACATACAACTCTTACACATACATATACTCCACTAAAACATCAAACGAAACTGTCACGTGCAGTTAATACTACAGTTACAAACCCAAACAACTGACAGATACAAGATTAAAACGTTTTCTGCAATAACTAACTTCAACCCAGACAATTTTACAAACCAACTATTAAACCAGACTTTTCCAATCTCGGTTCTTCAATACCTTGAGTCATGCTCTGCTGCCAACAAGGCATTGCCGGGAAATTTGCTTTGATCACAGATTTCAAAGAACCCGGAGAACCCTGGATCTGATGTGTAAGCTTCTTCTTTTTCTAACAAAGATGGTAGCTTTCTTGTGTTTCACGAGAAGTAAGAGCTTCCTTGAAGATAAGCCTTCATTGGCACAGAGAAAATTTGCTAATATCATCACATGGCTTTTGTCTTTCAGCCTACCGATGAACAGAGACTTCAGGGTTTCCGAACAATTTGCATGCCCACGACCGGACACATGCGGACCGAATGAATTTTCGCCACAGAAACTTGCCATGTGAACTTGTTCTTTGAAATCGTCAAGAAATGAAGACTGGTGAATGTTGAAAGAGACGTCTTGCTGTGTTGGTACGTGACTTCATGTCCCAATACAAAAATATTAATGCGAAAACGAACAACAGAACCTTCAAGTCAGCAAATGCGGCATCTCATCTTTTCATGATTTATTCTTCAAAAATTGAGAAGACAAACCCTTGTGAAACACATATGAAGCTGTCCAAAAGCTATTGTAATTTCAGCCAGAAACGATCGTGACCCCATCTATTTATGCTCGAGTTACTTGTCCCACCACCGTTTATCCATTAAGACAACCATACAAGATTCAGGGTTTAACATCAGGAAGACATAACCATGTGAAACTGTCCCGCCCTTAAACGTCACAGCTTCAATCCATAGAGGTGTCGTCAGCTGTCTGGTTGATGATCTTTATATATACAGTACCAAAGTTCATCATTACCCAAACACAACAATCTCTTGGCGTCAACAAAACAACAATCAAGAACTCCAAATCTGAAACTTTTGCAATCACCCGGTTCCATCAGACACAAGAAAAAATGGCTCTGATAAGAGGTCTAATGGGTGCAAAGAAGATTATGAACGGAGGAGCTTCCGCACCAAAGGGATTTCTTGCGGTGTACGTCGGCGAGAGCAAGAAGACGAGATATTTGGTGCCGGTCTCATACTTGAGTCAGCCTTCGTTTCAAGACCTGCTCCGTAAAGCTGAAGAGGAGTTCGGGTTCAGTCATCCGATGGGCGGGTTGACGATCCCTTGTCCCGAAGATGTTTTCATGACTGTAACTTCTCAGCTCCAAGGAAGATGACCAGAAGAGAACATACATATTTTTGCCTCCATGTAAAGATTGGTTACTCGATGTAGATACATGCTTTTGAACTCTTGTATATTATACAACTCACAAGCTCATTATGCTTTGCTCTGAGACAATCAAACATCAAAGCGAGAAAACTAAAATACGAAGACATAGCTGATTCTGCTTTACTCGGACACGATGCGATTCAAAACGGGTGGGAAAACACAGAGTGAGTTTAAGAGGATCCTGCACGAAAAAAAAAAGATGACAACAATCTGTCTAGTTGTTCATCATCCCAATCAATTGGGTTGTGTCGATTGGAGACGAAGACATACTGTCTAATTCCTCGTCACTGCAGAATCCGAGGTTAAGGCCTTCACTCCCTCAAGTTCCTCATTCTCTGCAAGCAAGCTCTCGACCTTCCAGTTGACCTTTTCGTCCTAGGACAATGAAGCCTTGGAAGTCGTGATGTATTTCAGTAGCGTTACTGATATCTAGGTGGATGTTTGTAGCGTTACCCATCAAACTGATGTATAACCAAAGATACCAGAAACGGACAACAAAACTCAGCTGGTGAAATGGCAGATTCTGTTGCGAATCGACTCAAGAACATGATGAAGATATGAATGAATGCAGAAAATAGAAGTTGTGTACGTGTATTCGACTTTCTCTGTCCTTGTTCGAGGGTTTGATGTCTTCTTCGTTTTAGATCCGACCAGGTTTTCAGTGAGTCTGTTTGTGTTTTGAAACTGATACGATAACTGTGGAAGCTGACATACACAACTCCGAAACAACCCAGCATGTGAGCCGTTGACCTGATAAGCAAACATGGAAACTCTCCTCTCCAGAATCTTCGACACTACAAAGAAGGAAAGAACCAAGTTTTGGCTACGTAATGTACATCCACATATTTGACAGATTTCTTGCTGATTTTATCACCAATGTATTAGCCGTTAGATGAGATCCTTATGTGTATATCTCCACTTGTATTACTTCAGAGAAAAATAAGAAGAAAACTTCTCTTCTACTTGTCGTTATTTCTCTGAAAACAAGAAATTGTTCAGAAACAAGACGAACTATTTCTTTCAACAAGGAAAGAGATAGAAAAAAAAAAAGAGTATGTATCTATCTACATCGAGTTCTCCGTCTTTACATCGGGAAAAAAAAAAGAAAAAACGTTCATGTTTCCTCAGGATCGTCTTCCTCCGATCCGGGAAGTTACATCCATGAAAAGGGCTTCGGGACAAGGGATCATCAAGCCGCCCGTAGGATGATTGAAACCGAACTCTTCTTCTGCTTTACTGAGCAGAGCTTGAAACGCGGGCTGATTCAAGTACGAGACCGGGACCAAATACCTCGTTCTCTTGCTCTCCCCCACATATACAGCAAGGAAGTATTATCACTTGTGCCACGTCACTTCGTGCCACGTCACTTGGTCGAATGAGTCTAGGATTGTGGCGAGATTCACTTTGACAGTTAGTTAGTTAAGGCAGTTGTACAGAGGAACTCATATATATGTAGTTTGATAATCGATAATAAAGTTATCAGCTCATTTTCCATTGCTCTGTTTTTCTGTTTCAACAATCGTGAAATGGTATCAGAGCTCTTGTGAGTTTTTCGATTGCAATCGCGTTCTTTCCTGTGTTTTTCCCGAGAAAATCCTCGGCGCTTTCACTCATTTTCTTCAGAAAATTCCTGGTGAACTTCTTTTCGCTGAAATCATGACTACTCCGACGGTGATAGATTGTTTCAGTCCTTACTATCTCAGTTCCAACGATCAGACGAATTCAGTTCTGATCTCTCATCGCCTCAATGGCTGTAACAATTTCAATTCCTGGCATCTCTCCTTCTCAATGGCGCTGGAAGGACGAAATAAGCTCGGTTTCCTTGATGGAACCCTACCTCAACCACCAGATTCAGATCCAGATTCCAAGTTATGGAAGAAGAACAATTTCATGGTATGTTCCTGGATCATGAATTCTGTTTCTGAACAAATTGCTGAAAGTCTGCTGTACTTCAAGAAAGCGAGTGATATGTGGAAGAATCTGCTGAATCGGTATCAACAAACTGATGTTTCACGTCGATATCGGATTAAGCAAAAGTTGAATTCACTTCGTCAAGGATCTGATGATGTTTCCACATATTACACCAAATTAGTAACCATATGGGAGGAATTGAAATCAGTCCAGGCATCTCCGTGTTGTACTTGTAGAAATTGCTCATGTGGAGTTGACAAGAAATGGAAAGATCTGTTTGAAGAAGACTTTGTATTCCAATTTCTCTATGGATTGAATGATGCTTTCGAACCTGTCCGTGATCACATCATTCTTATGGAGCCACTACCAGATCTGGCAAAAGCTTCAGGTATTGTTGTGAAGCATGAACAACAGAAAATGATAAGAGTCCCTGTTTCAACAGATGCTGTAGTTTTCCAAGCATCTACTCAGCCCCAGCAAACTGAAAATGTAGCAGCAGTTGCGGGAGGATTTTACAAGAATCGACAACGTCCCTTATGTACTCACTGTGGACTCTATGGCCACACAGTGCATAAGTGTTACAAGCTCCATGGTTATCCACCAGGATATACTCCTCGAAATACTCATTCTCAACAGATTCAACAGAATCACATGCCTATGCAGAAGACATATACACAAGGGAAGAACACTTTTCAGAGCAAAGGAACTATTGCTAATCTGGTCACTGAACCAGTTCTTGTCACCGGTCAAAGTCAAGTATCTGAAGTGAACACAATGTCCACACAAGAACTTCATCAGCTGTTTTACAAGCTAGGTGCTGCCTTAAACATCTCAGGTCCAAATATTACGGATTGTGGCGCTCCGGAAAACATTAATTCATCTGGTAATCATCTGATCCTATCCTCTGTTTCGTCTGCTTTACATACAAAGGAAACAATCAACACTTGGATAGTAGATTCAGGGGCCACGACTCATGTATGTGCCCATAGATCTCTGATGCATGAACTAAGATCTATCTCACCTGTGATCATCAGCTTACCTAATGGATCTCGATTAACTGTCACTCAAGCAGGGAAAGTAATGATCAATCAACATATTGTTTTGCAAAACGTTTTACTTGTTCCATCATTTTCCTTTAATATCCTCAGTATATCTGCTCTTTTATCCCATAATAACTTTCATGTTTTCTTTACCCCTACCTCTTGTTTTCTTCAGGCGCCTATTCAGGGCTTGAGGATTGGGAAGGCTGACCTGCATTGTGGTCTGTACCTTCTCAAAACCGATTCCCTCTTACCATACGATCAAACCCAGATGTGCAATGCTATCCATGTTGACTTCACAGTCTGGCATAGGAGGCTTGGACACCCTTCTACTCAGAAACTAAAGAACCTTTCATCCACCCTCAAACTCAGCAAAATAACCGAGCCAACGCACTGTGATACATGCCATTTGGCAAAACAGAAGCGTCTCCCTTTTCTTTCAAATAATAATGTAGCCTCTTCCATTTTCGACCTTATTCACATAGATATATGGGGCCCTTTTTCTGTAATGTCCATTGATCCGACAATGCTCAGGAGTTGACATTTACAGAATTCTTCAAAGAGAAAGGGATCATCCATTACTACTCATGTCCGCATACTCCCCAGCAGAACTCGGTGGTAGAAAGAAAACATCAGCACATCTTAAACGTGGCAAGATCTCTGGTTTTTCAGTCTGGGATTCCTTTGCAGTATTGGACTGATTGTGTTCGTACTGCAGTGTATCTTATAAACAGGACACCGTCACCATTATTGGAGAATAAGACACCATATGAAGTACTGAAGAAGCAGAAACCAGATTATGAACATCTACGAGTATTTGGGTGCTTATGTTATGCATCAACATCTGATTCAGAAAGGCATAAGTTTTCTCCGAGGTCGAGAGCTTCAGTGTTCATAGGATATCCCACAGGCTATAAAGGCTACAAGCTTCTTGACCTTGATACCAATGCTGTAAGTATTTCTCGCCATGTTATTTTTCATGAGAATGTTTTTCCCCTTCACACCAAAGATCATTCTGATCAAGATACCATATTCTCTCAAACAGTGTTACCTGTACCTTTCTTTGATCCACCTGTTCATGAACTTGTTCCACATCATCCTGAACCAAACATTCCTGAACCAGAACCAGAACCAGAACCAGAACCAGAACCAGAAAATCCTGAGTCAACTTCTTCTATCGACTCTGATCCTAACTCCTCTATCTTGGTTGTTCCTTCTGAACGTCCTCAAAGACCTACCAAACAACCCAAATACCTTGAAGATTATCATTGCTATCAGCTTGATAATCTCTTAAAACCATCCACTTCGTTTCCTATCTCATCATATCTGACATATGAAAACCTGAGCCCATCATATAAAGCCTTTGTTCTGAATACTACCCTTGAAACAGAACCCAAAACTTATAAAGAAGCTGTGGTTTCTGAAAAATGGCGAGATGCAATGAACACTGAACTCAAGGCCTTGGTGGGAAACGGAACCTGGTCTGTGGTTAGCCTGCCAGAACATAAGCAACCTGTTGGATGCAAGTGGGTGTTTAAAATTAAAAGAAACCCTGATGGAACTGTGGAACGCTACAAAGCTCGGTTAGTAGCAAAGGGGTATACTCAGCAAGAAGGAGTTGATTTCATTGACACTTTTTCTCCAGTAGCAAAGTTAGTCACTGTCAAGTTACTTCTGGCATTAGCAGCAGTGAACAATTGGTCATTAACACAAATGGATGTTACTAATGCTTTTCTACATGGGGACTTAGAAGAAGAGATCTACATGTCACTACCACCTGGATATACTTCGGATCAGAATACAGTTTTGCCAGCACGAGCAGTATGTAGGCTACAGAAGTCTCTATATGGTCTTCGACAGGCATCGAGACAATGGTACCACAAGTTTGCGAGTGTATTGCTGACAAATGGCTTTCGACAATCTCAGGCGGATCATACTCTCTTCGTCAAGCAATCAGGTACTTCATTTCTGGCTTTATTAGTCTATGTCGATGACATAATAATTGCCAGTAATGATCTCGTAGCTGTAGACAAATTGAAGACATTGCTGAAATCAGAGTTTAACATCAAAGATCTTGGTCCTTTGAAATACTTCCTTGGATTAGAGATTGCGCGAGCCTCTTCTGGAATATCAGTATGTCAAAGAAAATATTGTCTCGAACTAATGAAAGATGCAGGATTACTTGGGTGTAAACCAGTTTCAACGCCTATGGATGCTAATATTCAGCTGAGAAAGGATTCAGGAACTCCACTGGATGACATTACACCTTATCGACGTTTGATTGGAAGATTAGTATATTTGACAATAACAAGACCTGATATTTCTTTTGCTGTCAACAAATTGAGCCAATATTTGTCAGCGCCTACATCTGAACATATGCAGGCAGCAAACAGAGTGATCAAGTATCTGAAAAATAGTCCTGGGCAGGGCATTTTTTTCTCGGCTAAATCTGATATGAAGCTTCAAGCATTTGCCGATGCTGACTGGGCTTCATGTGCTGACACAAGGAGATCAATCTCTGGGTTCTCTGTGTTTCTTGGAAATTCCTTATTATCATGGAAATCTAAGAAACAAACAACAGTTTCCCGAAGTTCTGCAGAGGCTGAATATCGATCTTTGGCAAATGCAACTTGTGAACTCATATGGCTAACTCATCTGCTGCGAGATTTTCAGGTGAAGATTACCGATCCTATCAATCTATTTTGTGACAGCAAATCAGCAATTCATATAGCTTCAAATCCGGTTTTTCATGAGAGGACGAAGCATATCGACATAGATTGCCATCTGGTTAGAGATAAATTGCAAGAAGGATTCTTGAAGCTTATGCATGTTAAATCTGAAGATCAGATAGCTGACATGTTTACAAAACCATTGCAACCGGCTGTCTTCAGTCATCTGATGTCAAAACTCCATGTTTCAAGTCTGTTTTCTCCGACACAGACTTGAGGCGGGTGTATTATCACTTGTGCCACGTCACTTCGTGCCACGTCACTTGGTCGAATGAGTCTAGGATTGTGGCGAGATTCACTTTGACAGTTAGTTAGTTAAGGCAGTTGTACAGAGGAACTCATATATATGTAGTTTGATAATCGATAATAAAGTTATCAGCTCATTTTCCATTGCTCTGTTTTTCTGTTTCAACAATCGTGAAAGGAAGCCCTTTGGAGCTGAGGCTCCTCTGCTTAGAATCTTCTTTGCACTCAAAATACTTCTCATCAGAGCCATTTTCTGCAGATGGGTTTTGGAAAAGATGGAGTTTTTTTTTTTATATATATATTGGGTTGAAGAGATGGTTGTGTTCTGGAAATGAACCTTGGAGAAGTAAGTATATATAAAGATATTCAGAGAGAGAGTTGAAAGCTCTGGGGATTGAAGCTGTGGCCTACAAGGACATGTAAGGGGGAGAGTTCACATGTTCCTGTCTCCCTGATGATAAGCCCTGAGTGTTTACGATTGCCTTCATGGATAAACGACGGATGCTATGGTAAAGAGGGTCCATCATCATTTCTGAGATTATAATTGTCATTGGACAACCGCATATGCACTCCACAAGGGTTTGTCCTCTCAATGCTCTGTCCTGATTTCGCAAGAGCATTCAAATCTATCTGAAATGAACTTATGTGGGACCTGAAGCCGATTACCAACAGGGCAACAAGTCTCTGTCCTTATGAAGTTGGCAGACAGTATCACATGCAAAGGCCTTGGACTAGAAAATAGGAAAGGCTTGGAAATTTCAATGGCCAATCTTAGTCAGAAGACTGGCAAAACTGTCAAGTCCCCATCACTGCCGAATTCTTGGGGGGTGAGAGACCGAACCATGTGACGATGCTTTTTAGCTAAAATTACTCTTAGCCATACCAATGCATCTATAAGTACATGTCTACTGAATAGCTGAGCTACACAAGCACTTCTCACAACTTCATAGTAAACAACAAAGCTTCAGTTCAAATCTTCTCTATTAGGAGAAACAGAAGAACAAGAACGTACACCAAGATCCACCCATGGCTTTCCGAGCTCTTCATGTGTTGCAGCCAAAGCAAATTTTCCGGCAAGCGAAGCCCTTCACACCCTCAAACTCTGTCGATGTTCCAAAGGGGTACTTTTCGGTTTATGTCGGGGAGAGCCAGAAGAAGAGATTCTTGGTTCCCATATCATTCTTGAATCAGCCTTCGTTTCAAGATCTGCTGAGAAAATCTGAGGAGGAGTTTGGGTTCGATCAACCCACGGGTGGACTCACAATCCCATGCAGTGAAGCGTTCTTCATCAATCTCATCTCTCAACTCATCAGATGATGGCATTATTAATCTCAGTTTGTAGGAATCTGTACATGTTTCGTCAGTTTTTTTTCTTTTGTCTGAGAGAAGAGAAGACATAAAAATCTCTCCTCGAACGGAACACACAGAGTCGGCTGTTGTAACATTTTTGTTCCCACGTTTTAGTGAGTCATACGATCAAACATCTTGACTATTTAATCAATGATTCTCTATTCAAAATTCCAAAATATTTCGAATTCATGATCGCCTTCGAGCTCCTCAAATGCGACCTTGATTGATGCGTGAGTGTATCTGCATGATTCTTGGATGTTTGTGTTCCCTTTTTCAAAACCCTCCTTCTAAACCCTCTGAATGTGTCCAAGTCTTCGGCATGTTAAGTGTTGGTGAAGAAAGTTGTTCTATCTTTTCTCGACTTGAGCACACACCTCGGTCTCGATCTTCGTCCATGTCTCCTCGATCTTCAACACTTACTTCTCGTGAAACACAAGAAAGCTATCATCTTTGTTAGAAAAGAAGAAACTTACACATCATATCCATGGCTTTCCGGCAATTCCAAATTATTCACGGATGATGTTCCAAAGGGGTACATACCGGTTTACATCGGGGAGAGTTCTTAACGTTCCCCATGGAATGGACTGTATGTGAATCCAATGTTCATCCAGACGTTCCAGCACATGTGTGATTTATCTCTTGGGTTAGAAAGACAACGATCTGGGTTTCTAACCAATTTCATCACCCACAAGGGAGAAGCCGAGTGTCGAATTTGAAGGCCAACTGAACCTGGCAGCTTTGTTTGATCAATGATGTTCTGTCAAGGTTTCGGTAACTCTCACTTTCTCATTTTCTATTTGTCTTGGAGAAGATAATATAATCGGAAACTGCTTCTTAGAACCTTGTGCTTTTTCTGAGTTTCTTGAGAGAAAAGAAACAGATATGTCGAATACTTGTTAGGAAGTGAACTCATAAAATAAAATCTCTGCACTTTGTGTTGATACTCTCTTCTGTTACACAAAAAGATGTATCCATATTGAATTTCTCTCCTACGTAGAAACGAGAAAGAAGTATGTATCTATCTACATCTAATTCTCCGTCTTTACAACGGAAAAAAAAAAAGAAAAAACGTTCATGTTTCCTCAGGGTCGTCTTCCTCCGAGCCGGGAAGTTACATCCATGAAAAGGGCTTCAGGACAAGGGATCATCAAGCCGCCCGTAGGATGATTGAAACCGAACTCTTCTTCTGCTTTACTGAGCAGAGCTTGAAACGTGGGCTGATTCAAGTACGAGACCGGGACCAAATATCTCGTTCTCTTGCTCTCCCCCACATATACAGCTAGAAAGCCCTTTGGAGCAGTAGCTCCTCTGCTTAGAATCTTCTTTGCACCCATGAGGCCTCTCATCAGAGCCATTTTTTTTATTGGTCAGAAAATGTCTGGTTATAGTGCTTCTTCTGCAGATGGGTTTTGGAAAAGATGGAGTTTTTTTTCTATATTGGTTTGGAAGAGATGGTTGTGTTCTGGGAATGAACTTTGGAGAAGTATATATAAAGATAATCAACGAGAGAGTTGAAAGCCCCAAGGATTGAAGGCTATGGCCTACAAGAACCTGCAAGGGGGAGAGTTCACATGTTCTTGTCTTCCTGAATCTTGCATGATTGTCTATTACAGAGACTTGCATGTGTTGTTCTTTAATGTCCAGATTCTGTGAGAGCATTCAAATCTATCTGAAAACAACTGATGTTCGAAGACAGTATCACATGGAAAGGCAATAGACCAGAAAAAGATTGAACATTTCATTGATTTCAATGGCCAAACTTAAAGGGTATCACGTGGATTTGTCCACAGAGACTCCAGCTGCTTCACTTTCAGGGCCCATAGTTGTAGGTAATGGTCCTGCAGATTATTTCAAAAGATTGGCAAAAACAGTCAAATCTCCTTCACTGCCGAATTCTGAGACCAAACCATGTGATGATGCTTTTTAGCAACATTGCTCTAATAAGCCATACAATTGCATCTATAAGTACATCATTTCTCTTACGCATAAACAACGATCATCGTCTCTATCAAACCCTAACTCTTCTCTATGTTTAAACTTCTGTCGATCTCTCCGCCTCAAATCGTGGGAGCTCGCTGGAAGTCACCGGAGGTCATCATCTCCGTCGTCTCCAGCTGCACTATCTCTATTTTGCCTATCCCGTTCTAATTTTTTTTTTGGATTATGTTTGAATCTTTGTTTTGTCTCCTTTGTTTTGAAGACATGTGCGGATCTACGAGCCATTGAAGATGGTAAACTGATCTATAGTCATGTGAATATAGCAACTTCAGTATCGACATGTGCATTTCTACTCCTATGCTTGATTTGTATGCCAAATGTGGGGAATTTGATATGGCGTTGAAAGTGTTTGATGAAATGCCAAGAGAGATATTGTCGTGGGAATGCTATGATTTTCGGGTTTTCTTTTTGTGGGCATTTTACTGAAGCCGTAGGATTGTTTGTGGAACCATTGTTGGACTGTTTCCTGCTCTAGGAGTAGCTGGTGCATTTATGAAAAGGAAAGTTGTTCATGGGTATGACATATTTGAGTGGAAGGCAGCTGAGAATGTGTACAAGCAGGAATTTTCGGCGGCAGCTACATGGAGACTATTGTGGCATGCTTCTCCAACAGTGGAATGGGCTAACCTGGTTTGGTTCAAACAGGTTATTCCTAGGTACGCCTTTGTACAATGGATGGTTATGCAGGGGAGGCTGCCAACAAGAGACAGGTTGATGCGATGGAACGTTACACAAAACTCAACATGTGTGTTGTGCAATGAAGAGGAAGAGACGCATGCACATATAATTTCATATGTTCATTCAGTTTGGAGATTTGGTAGATGTTGGCAGGGAGAATTTGGACAACCCCCTGCCGAGTTAATGAGATGCCATCAGTGGTTGGAACATATCTCGTCGACCGACGGATAGGAAAGAAAAGTTATGCTGAAGACACTAATCCAACATGCGGTGTACGAAATCTGGAAGGAGCGGAACTCTCGCGTGTTCAGAAACGCTGCATCGACTCCTCAAGCCCTTAGCATACGGATTGACAGATTAGTGCGGACTACACTCCTCTCATTACAGCAGGCCGGTCGAAGTAGAAGCAACTTCTTGCTTCAGAAATGGTACTCTTGGACTATAGATTGAGAACTAGTCGTATTCATTGGTAAATTATGTTGCAAACTCATTCCTTTATAGGTTGGCTAGCGAAAGCTTTTAATGTGGATTTTTATCCTGTACTATGTACTACCCATTTTTTAGTAATATATTACACATCTTATCAAAAAGTTGTTCATGGGTATTGTACGAGAATGAGTTTTAGTGATGATTTAGCTGTTAGCACAAGGACATTAGATATGTATGCCAAAAGCAAGTGCATAATCTATGTGAAAAGGGTTTTTGATTCAGACTGTCTGAAGAATGAGGTGACATGGTGTGCTATTGTTGGATGGATGCTTTGTCGAAAATGGAATGATGTCTAAAGCAAAAAGGACTGTTCGTTGAGATGTTGGTCGATGCAGATGTCTCGGTAATGACACCAGTGGCTGTTAGGCACATTCTTAGGGGTTATGTGGTTTTTGCAGATTTGACTCGAGGGAGATGTTGTTTCGTATGCTTGGTTGGTGTTTTACCTGCCTGCTCTTACTCGAGGGAGATGTTGCTTCAAAATATTTCTTCCATGAAAAATTTCTGGATGATCATTTGTTCAATTGCAGGGTTCTTTTGTTATTGGTTTCACTTCTGTTTTGAATAATAATAAGTATATCTTCTCATCATTTCTGTTTAGATTATCGGATTCCTCTGTTATCCATTAAATGCTTAACAAGAGATATTCTTGTTGATGATTTTGTGCAAAATATTATATATTATCTAATACATTATGTTTTGATTAGTTTTTTTTATTTCAATCATTTAATATATTATGTCTTTTGCAAAATATTATATAATTTTGATATTATGTTTCGAGTTAAAAAAATACAACAGTATCATATGGTTATATAATTTTTAGATTTATTAATAATTATTTTTAATATTTTTATGATAAAATTATTTTTTAATTAAATATAAATTAAATTGATGGAGTTTATATTTTAAAATATTTTTATATAATTATTTATAAATTATATAAATATTTTTTATCAAATGACAATATAAAAATTAATTATAATTAATTTTAAAAATTATTTTAAAATTATATTTTTTTGTGGTAATTTATATCAAAACGCAACCGCAACCGTATACAACTATTCACTTTTACTCTCAATCATCACCACCCGCCACTTACAACCTAGTCAATATCAACCGCCCACAATCGCTAGTAAATATTTTGAAAATCGCTCTCAACTGCAATCACAAACACAACAGTACAACCAGTCACACCCTTGTAAAGGATTGCATGAATATGTTTCTTGAAAAAAGTAAGAAGTTGCATGATTGATCTATTCAAAACATCTAATGCATTGGTCATCTTATTAATTCTTAATCACGCGGGTGAAATGATAAGAATGATGGGCGAACAATGTTTGATTTATTAGGGAATTGAAAAGTTTTTAAATTTCTTATATGTAAGGTGCGAGTCATATTAGACAAAGATTTTAAAAATTAAAATGGGAAAGCAAAACAGAAAATATAGAAAAAGAGAAAAATAGAACGAAATCATGTTTATAACTACATTGTTGGAGGACAATCAGATCATGTTACACTCGGAGACTTCAGCGAAAAAACACATGAGGAGAAACAAGACACACACGAAGACTTGCACAAATGGCAACCAAAGATTTGATAGAAATTAATAAAATAAGATATACTTAATACAATTAATATTTGATTTTTTAGTTAATTTTGAATCTCTAATTAATTTATATCCATCATATCTAATGTTTATAATCTCTTCAAATCAATTCCAATCTTTTCAAATTGGTGTTTGTTTCTTTATTAATTTCAACATATTTTCCCTTTAATATTGATTTCGGGAGAATGTAAAAGTCAATACTGAAGAGATGATAGACAAAACCATATAAAAGCCACATGAGTAGAAATTTATTATCTTTAGAAAAATTTGTAGATACCAAGTTTTTTTATATCGTTTTAAAGAGTATTATCCAATTTCAAATATTTCGATTAATCTCATTTTATTATATGATCTCACTTTATCTTGAAACTATAATTACTATACGATCGATGTTGTAAAATTTTACAGAATCAACCCAATTGAAAAAGAGGGAATAAGAAATAAAAATAAGATTCTACAAAGAAATATGATTGATAGAAATATTTCAAACTAGTCAAATAAACTTGAAATATCATTAATTATTAGAAATGATTCAAACTAATCACACAAAATTTGTATATGTGAAATATTAATTTTTTTGCAAGAAAATTGGAAATGAGTAATGAAAAGATTTCGAAGATATGTTTAGTAAAAATATATGATTAGTGAAAAGATATTTAAAAGATTGTCTTAATTCTCTAGCCATTTTTCTTACCTCATAAAAACTCCAAATTCTAGTGTGGCCACAAAAATACGCGTTTTGTTGTCGATTCTGTATGATTTTTATTTTCTGGATTCCATATGATTTACAAGAGATCATGCATTTGTAATTTAGCGTGGCGACAAAATACTGAGAGTACGATATCAACGTAACAACATACGTATGCAACTTGCGTAGGTTATGCGCTTTCGTACGGTCAATTGCGTTTTTAATCGAACAAAAATTATCAACACAATCATTAATTCTTATAATTAAATTTCGACCTGTCGTGTTCTTTCTTTTACAAGACAGGATTCCAATATTCGATCGTTTTATTTCGAATCAAAGATTTTTAATAGCGTTTTGATGACGAATTCTGTTAAAATTCCATTTAAATTTTCAAGTGATTATCGATGAAAATTTTTCAAAAAAATTCCAACGGATTTCAATTAAAAAATTCAGTTAAATCATTTTCAACGGAAGTAGTGGAAAGATTGATGATTTTATGGAAAGTGAATTTGGAGTTTCAATTTCAGAGTTTCTAAGATCAAGTTAGGTTCAAAGTCGGGGTCGAGTAAGTCGAGGTCGGGGTCAACACGGGATCGAGGTAATAGGATTGAGTTTGGAATCTAAAATGTGTTTTGATATTTTGTTTGACAACGGAATTTGGTTGAAAAATTCGTTCATAAATTTCCACGGATATTTCCGTTGAAAATCAGTTGATATTTTCAACGATTTTCAACGGAATATTTTTTTAACGACCATAATACAACAGAATTTATCTATTAAAATTTCGTTAAAATTACAAAATTTTAATAGATTTTTGACCATTGAAATGGATTTATCGATTAAAAATTATATGTTTTATTGTACCTATTACCGTCATCATACTATTGCAGTGGAGAGAGAAAACCAAAAAAACCAAAAGAAATTGGAAATTAATTAATTTTTACACTTTGACAATTGCAACCATTTAAGTACAAAAAGGGAAGAAAAAAAAACGAAACAAATTATGATTTTGTATATATGTCATTTATAATATTTTTATGATATTCGACGGTGACTTCTTAGTAGAAAAATAAATTATGCGGCTTGAGTGAATATGGACTCAAGGAAGACTTTTCTTCTTAATGGCGGCTCTAATTTATTCACAAGTAAAAAAAAAAAGAAGGAAAAAGTTGGCTAATGTTCAATTAACCATGTCGATTTTGTCCCAACCCATTCATTAATTATTGTTTTGCTTTTTTACCTTTTTCGTGAGAGTTGAAAATTATTTAGCATCAAAGTACCATGATGATGATTGCATGCCCGCCCACTAAATTCAATTTATTATTAACAATCCCACAATAGAATATTAGTGGTTTTCAAAATTAGACATTTGCTGTAAAAACTTAATCAGAAATAATTAAATTATAATAGGCGTTACCTTTTTTTTTATAATTGTTTATCCATTAAAAAAACATTTTTCAGTTTATTAGATGTGGCGTGGAGTATGATAAATATATTAAGTTTTATATAGTTGAGTTAGGCATTTTGACACAATGATCCGAAAGAGAGAAATGCGACCGTGACAGAAATTAATGTAATTTACATGTAACGTTAGGATGTATTATTTAAGTATATAGTTATCTCTTTATATTGTAATTATTCATTTTTCTTTAGTTAAAGAGCATCGGAATCAGAGATTGATCCGTGAAAATTGACTCAGCAGCCAAAAACACAGCAGCAAAGCAGCCCCCGCACGTGGACCCAACCACAGCACGACATTGGGCAGACAGAAGGGCATATCCGTCATTTTCCAACACTGTTGAACGTGATCGGGTGCATTGAACCACGTGTCGGAAATCGAAGGTCACGAGTCAGAACTGCTTTTTAGGTCACGCGTGACTCACAGACGTCTTAACTGATGACGTGGCGGCTTCTTATTCGCTGGCCGCGTGGAGGGTCATGTGCCTGTGACAGATAAGCACTTAACGGCCACCGAAAGCGAAAATGCTAATTCCAGTCCCAGCAAAATTGCTATGTCCACTCTCCGTGGATGGGAAGTGAAAAATATCAGTAGCATCTTTTTGGCGTACTTCCATCCGCTTGCCAGGAACCTTCCCTCAGCCTTATCCCTCTTCCTCGCTCTCAATTTCACGCGCCACGTAATATTTTCCTTTTTTTCTTTTTATTCTTTCTTCTTTTTAAATAATCCATAAAATCTCCACATATTATATATATATATACGGAATTAATGGGAGAATTTGGAAAAAAAATATGAGAAGAAAAATACAATTGAACTTTGGAAAGAGAGAGACTCCAAATGTAATGAATATTGATATACAGATACTTTATAGCTGGTCCTTGGACAATTTAAGAACAACAAATTTTTTTTCGCAAATTTCCACTTTTGCAATATATATATACATATATATATATATATAAATTTCCACTTTTTTTTGCTGTCAAAATGCTGGAATGAGTTTATCTGTATATATATATATACTGAGTACGTATTTAATAGCCTTTTTCTTCCAATTTCGTTCAGTATCTTACATATGCTAGTGACGTAAAAGTGATATATATCTTATGGTATCACCACAATTTAATAATCCAAGCAAAACGTGATGCACAGTGATGATAAAAAAAAAAGAAGTTAATTTCTAGAGTCAGATAACCAGTCTCATAAAAATTAAATAAATAAATCTAGCTATACAATCCATGAAATAGGACAAATCATTAGTGAATATGTATGTGGTGGGGGTTTTACGTGCATGTGTGGAGACGACGTGTCAGTCTTATCCACCGTTTAATTCAGACGTTGATTCAACGCTTTGCAGAATTACAGACGAAAGTGGGACCCATACATGGGGACCTGATCGCCGACCGGATACGAATCCCTATGTCACCCTTTAGGTTCGGTCGCATCGGACCGGTCGGATTTAAGTTCCTGGACCGCTCTCAAATCACAAGACGTAAGCAGTGACAACATCACGTCCTTGAGCCTTGTCGCCACGTCACCACCTAACTTCTCCTGTTGAAACGTGTCCTTTTCCACGTCATCACGCGGCGTGACCATCCGCGTGTATTCTAGAAGCTCTCATCTCCTCACAGCTTAATCTCTCGACACGTGTCCCCTCCCTCCCTATATATTCCCGTTCCTCGCCTCATTTCTGAGTTTCAAACGCCGCCGCTGCATTACACAGAGAGAGAGAGAGTCAAGTTGCAGCCGGAGGGAAGTAAGAACAAAAGCGAAGGGTAAAAAGGGAAATAGTGAAAAAAAAATGACTGCAGCGGCGGATTTACAGTTACCTCCTGGATTCCGATTCCATCCGACGGACGAAGAGCTCGTCATGCACTATCTCTGCCGTAAATGCGCGTCGCAGACGATCGCTGTCCCGATCATCGCCGAGATCGATCTCTACAAATTCGATCCTTGGGACCTCCCTGGTACTCATCTATTTTGATTTCGATTAATCCCAAACCGGTTATTTCCGTTCTTATCCACTCAAAATCATCGAATTCCTAAGATGTTTTGAATTTGATTGGTTTGAAATCTACAGGTTTAGCTTTGTACGGGGAGAAGGAGTGGTATTTTTTCTCGCCGAGGGACAGGAAGTACCCCAACGGTTCGCGGCCGAACCGGGCGGCTGGGACCGGTTATTGGAAGGCCACCGGGGCTGATAAACCGATCGGTTCTCCTAAACCGATGGGGATCAAGAAAGCTTTGGTGTTTTACGCCGGCAAGGCCCCTAAGGGAGAGAAAACCAATTGGATCATGCATGAATACCGGCTCGCCGACGTTGACCGGTCTGCTCGCAAGAAAAATAATAGCCTAAGGGTATGAAATTAAATTATGAAAAATAAATCCGTATTTAGTTTTTTTTAATTCTGTATGATTTCTTAATCCGACGGTATTGATTTCCCCAGCTGGACGATTGGGTGCTTTGCCGCATATATAACAAGAAAGGGACTATCGAGAAGCGGCCACCGCGGATGTACGGCGTCGTCGGAGATTTCCCGGCGATGATCGATGCGGTGGAGGAGAAGCCGGTGCTGAAGGCAACGGCGGGGGGGGGGCCGTACAGTATGCCACCGCCGCAGAAGATGGCGAACGATTTCGTGTACTTCGACACGTCGGATTCGGTGCCAAAGCTGAACACGGAATCGAGCTGCTCGGAGCACGTGGTGTCGCCGGAGTTCACAAGCGAGGTTCAGAGCGAGCCTAAGTGGATGGAGTGGACGGTGAAAAGCAACAATGGCGGAAACGATAACAAAGCCCTCGATTTTGGGTACAATTACATAGATGCCACGGTGGAGAACGCGTTCGGAGGGGGTAACCAGATGTGGCCGCTGCAGGACATGTTCACGTACATGCCGAAACAGTTTTAGGGTGCGGACGGTCGCACGGTAACACGAGACCGATGAAATGCGTCGGTCAATGAGTGTACCGATTCGGCGATTGCCGTAGATTTGGAAGATAATTTTTATGTCTTTATTTCTTTTTTTTTGGACCGTCCGATCTTGCGTTAGGGGCCTGATCTGACGGTGTACGGTTGTTTTGGGGGCGTCCGTCGTTTCAATGTGTTGTGTAGTAGGGTACGGGAATATTCTCAGCTCGTCTTTGCTGTCATCATTCGTCATGTGTATTCAGATTTTTGGTTCAAGATTAAGAATCTCATTACATATTTATAGGATATGATATGATTCATGAATCTTTCTTTACTATTTTACTTGATACGGTCAATGAAGCCATTGTTCACTGCATTATGACCGATGTCTTGTTTTTATGTTCGGTTTATGGATATTAGCAACGTTTCCAAAATGAGCCTTGGACGATATAATCTCTTATAGAAAAAAAAATCCAGAAACAGCTTTTTTTTTTTCTGCAAGGCCCGAAATATATAAAATAATTAGACATTGGTTTATTTATGAAACGGGTTTTAATTAACCCAGCCTGTTTAATTGTGGGTTAAACCATTTTATAGTCTGATATTTATTTTATATTTTTTTCACGCAGACATCAAATGCTAGGGGGAGGAGGAGCTTCCCCGCCGTCCGATCATCCAGCAACGGACGACGGAGATTGGTTCTGGTGCCGGTGGTGTTCGTGTTCCAATCTTCCACTTGGGTTTGAGAATATACCAGAATTTGATGCCGAAATAATGTGTTGACATTTGTAATGATATTAGGCTGTTAGCAACGAACTGGCTTCGTTGCCAAGAAGAGAGACGAAATTGTGTTGTTTTTGGACAGCGAAAATAGAAACGCTATCTGTGTCGTTTTTTAAAAAATAAATTAAAATAAAAGTAATTGTAATTTTAAATTGTTTTACATAAATATATAAATATTTACAAATATTGTTCAATAAATAAATTTCTAAACTAAATAAAAGCTATATTGCAATGAAATTGGGTTACTATGTATCGATCTACGCGGCCAACAATTTTGTTGTAATGATTTAAAACACAAATTATTCAGAAAACTACTTTGCAACTAAAATATTTATTAAAAAAAAACTATTTCGTTGAAAAATCGTTGCAATGCAAAATTTTAGCTGTCCATTAAGCTGCCTATATATATGTATATAGTAATTGATACTAAAAATATAATTGATACATCAAAATTACATGCAACTGGTAAAATCAATAAAATCCAAATAATTCACTAACCATTTTTTTTTTTTGAAAAACCAATACAAGTTGGAAAAAAAAAATCTATAGAATATACTAAATCGGAACCGGAAACTGATACTGATTGATAAATAATCTTAAATTTTTTATCGTGGATTTACTTTTATAAAAACTTAAATATAGATAAAATATCATTTTCCATCATCCGCACAAATTGTCACAACAATATAGATTAAAACTTAGAACCACATTATGTGGTAGAATAATCTTTAGGAAACACGACAAAAATGGTTGACTTTTCTCTCTCTCCCACACATCTATCCCTTCCACAAATTCGGTTTTATGGATAAGAAAGAACCGATGTCCATTCTTTTTTAAAGAGATTTGAAAACTCTTAACACTATTTTGATTAGGATTGGAGCTCTTAACCATTTAAGGATTCGGGATTTAAACTCTAATTGATAAAACAAAACAAAAAACGGAATTTTAGAAAATTCACCCATGATTCCTTCCTTGCACAGAAGCTCCAGGCATCTAAGGACAGATTCATTGGTAAGGTCTTATCTGAGATACACGACCAGACACTAAACCTCAATTGGATCATCGCAGTTACAAGCTGCGTTAAGATGCTGATTCTCCCTCCACCGATTGTTATAAACATGTGAGAACGACAATGTCTAATACAACGATACCGTAATTAACCGGTAGAATAGGATTATAATGTTCACACATCAGAATATTAATTCCAATATTCTAACCTCGATCACAAGTAGCAATTCAAACGGAAAATCCACCGCGTAACTTCTGATTCCGGCAACAACTCCAAGTTACACCTTACAAATCAAAGCGGAATAATTACACCGTTCGATATTACAACAATCAGACATGTACAAACTAAGTCTACAGTAAATAACATCCAAAAAGTCAACCATTTGATTGTAGAATATCTTGATCAAATTTCTTATTTTGTGTATCATACTTCTACTTCTCCCTCTCGCGGAAACTCTCTATTTATAGATAAAATCTGTCTAAAATTATAAAGGTATCCCATTGACCAAAATTTTGACCGCCTCACTACCTTTATTGGTTTGTCACTGTTTCACATGATGGTTGAAATATATTTTTGCAATTTCGATTATCATACCACAATTAGATCAGATCTGCAAATGTTACCAAATAATCCAATTAGATTTTTGATAATTTGTGTCTCATATCAGAATCAAGATAATCAATCAATAAAAGAATTGTTGATCTTTCTACCTCATAAAGCCAACAAAGAAAGGGGTGAGACAGTGCAAAAATTCTTCGGTGGATCTCGTACCCTTTGTAAGGGTCCATATTAAAAACTGGTTGTTTCTTTCAATTTCATTGATTACGTTACCATTACACTAGATAATATCTACACACACAAAGAGTAGAATTTATCCGAGAGGGAAGACATTCGTTCATTCCTCTGGAGAGAGAGAGAGAGAGAGAGAGAGAAGTGTTCTTTTTTGTTTTTTTTTTTATGTGATTGAATTACCAAAATTTGTGTTACATTTACAAGCAGTGTGAACTGAAGTGAAAAGCTAAGGGGGTACCCATGGCAAGTGGTATTACAAAAACTATCACATTAATTCCCGGAGAAGCGTTCTTGACTGACTTTTGGTTCGTGTATATTAATATATACACACACACATACGGAGAACTTAACTGCATCGGTATGTATTTGTGATTTGACTCATTTTTATCATATCACAACTCAACAGCAAATGCATTCGACGACAATTCCTCAATACATCCAATAAATAAATAAATAAATAGGCATATAAATTTTAACTTTTTGGCTCATCAGATTAAAATTTGGTTCAAGTTATACAAAACCAAACCGATCCCAATTGAATAACTTTATCCGTACTGAATTGGTACATACATATATATATATATATATATGTATTATAACATTTTCTTAGCAATGATAAGATTGATCGATGATGGAGCACACGTAACTTATCGGCTAACCCTGATCACCATTTTGGTAGTGGACCCACACTCTTAACAATGGCCAAATCTTATGTCGATTCGATTATTCAACCACAAAAATATCGTACAAATATATACACACGTATTTTTCCGTTACGTGTGATGGCCGTTTTCAAAAATTAAAAAAAAAATAAATCCGGTAGAGATTTGTATAGAATATTATCCCTACGAGAGAGAAGCAGTTAACGAATGGGCTAAACATAGGATTTGGACAAAACGATTCGATCCTCGGAAAACCCATTCGTCATTATATCCTCTCTCTCTTCATATTTTCCTGATCGTCATAAAATGGCGACGGAAGGAGGAGTGCCGAAGAAGAAAAGCTTATTCCTCCGTGACGTCATCAAACTCTGCAGATCAATCGCGAGGCTATGGCCTCACCACAGCAGACACCACAAGCTCTCTTCTTCTTCTCCTTCCTTCAACTTCGACCCAAAGGCGAAGCCCCGACCCGAATCCAAACGAGACGCCATTGATCTTCTTCTTCCGGTAACCCTTTCCGTTCGTCGTCCTAATTAAGATGTGTATGAAATTTTTGTGAATATGTATCAATGCGTGTGTGTGTGTGTCTTCAGGAAGCGAAGGCTGATGTGAAGGAGGGAGGGGTGAGACTTTGTAGGGTTCGTAGCTATCGATACGATGGTGCGGATTTGGTGCGGGACAAGAAGCCGTCACTGTCGAGAAGTTGCAGCCAGAGTAGGGCCACGCCCTTGAGGCGAAACCTGTCATCGTCATCCTTCGCAAGGAGCAAGAGCAGTTGCAACAGCCGGAACCTGTCATCGTCGTTCAGCTTTGGACCCTCCGTCGCAGCCTCAACCGTCCAGAGAACCTTCACCAACCCGATATTGTACTCGACCTCTGCTGCCACTGTGGCTAAGCCTCCTCCGACCAAGGAGGAACTCGTCTGCACGCTCGAGGAGCTCTGCAAAGGCTGCACCAAGAAGATCATGATCAAGAGAGACGTCCTCAGCAGCTCGGGGTTCGTCTCTTGTCTTGCAAATATTTTGCCCAAACGAATTGAAAAACGAGTTTCGGGTCTGTTTGGCTTTATTTCTTGCTATTCGGGGTTCAGAAACGGCATTAGGTGACGGTTTTGTTGCCTTTGTTTCGGTGATTTTGTGTAGGGAGATGAGCCAGGAGGAGGAGATGGTGGAGATAAAGGTGAAGCCAGGATGGAAAGGAGGTACGAAGGTTACTTTCGAAGGAAAGGGAAATGAAGCGATGGGGAGCGTGGCGGCTGACCTGACATTTGTGATCGCCGAGAAAGAGCACAAGCTGTTCACAAGGGAAGGAGACGACCTCGAGATGGAAGTAGCAATCCCTCTCGTGGAAGCTTTGACTGGCTGTGAGATCTCCGTCGCCTTACCTGATGGGGACACCATGAATTTAAGAATAGACGATGTTATTCACCATGGGTACACCACCCTAATCGAAGGCAAAGGGATGCCGAGATTAAATGGAAAGGGGAAGAGAGGAGATTTGAGGATAAGGTTCCGGACAAAGTTCCCAGAAAGATTTACAGAGGATCAACGGGCAGATATCCGGAACATTCTAGAAGGTTCCGCATGACCGATATCTCTCTCTCAATGCTTTCAATTCCTCTTCTAGCAACATGGTTTAGCTAAAACCTAAGAGGCTGTATCATCTTTCATCTTTAATGTAACAATGAAGTTGAAAAGAAGAAACTGGTTCATAGATCAGTGGATCTTTCACAGCCAATAGTTATGGCAGAAAAGCAAATAAACAGAAGGAACTTCACCAGAGTTTGTCTTGTACCTTTAATGTAAACCTAGTAGGGCTTTGAGTAAGTCCAATAGATTTCTGTTGACAAGAGCCTTTAGCAATCTAAGCTTCCATCGCGAGTAAGGCGGGTATCTCATTGATGCATCACCTAAAAGGCTTCGGTAAAGAACAGCCTTCTTGTGGCTGAAAGCATCGAAAGAGAATTTCCCGTGGTATGAACCCATTCCACTTTCCCCAACTCCCCCAAACGGCAACGTGTGAAGCGCAAGCTGCAAAATTTTCTCGACACATTCATTTCACTCTTCAGCGATATAATGATGAACCGCTAAATGGATAAGAGAGCAGTGTGGTTACATGAACGGCTATGTCGTTGACCACTACGCCTCCAGCAGAGACTATCCTCGCAAATTTCTCTTTCAGCTTTTTGTCATTGGTAAACAAATATGCAGCAAGTGGCTTTGATCCGGAATTGATCACGTCAAAACTGTCTTCCAAGTTCTCGAGCTGTACAGAATATATGAATATATCAAACATATTTGCTTCATTGTCTTCTAAGACCATACCAAATACAGTGGGATATTGTGGAAACCAATTTGATAAAGGATAATGTTTCCTACCGTGAGGATGGGAAGTAGAGGGCCAAATATTTCTTCATTCATGATAAGCGAGTCTCTCGGTACATCAAGCAGGATGGTCGGAGCGATTTTCCTGAAATTTTGGTGACATAACATCAGCAAAAGGGATTTGTTTTCCTCATCAGTTATAATGCACAAAGACAGTTATGATAATGAAAAAAAACAAATAGAGAATCTCACAGGTTAGCTCTGTCCTTTTGACCTCTATAGACGATTTTATCGGCAACTTTATCCTCATCCAAAATCCTCGCCAAGCGGTCAAAGTGGTTAGAGTTTACAATACGAGAGAGATCCTTGGACTCCATAGGGTTCTTCCCATAAAATGCCTCCAACTCATGCTTCAAGACATCAATCTTGAGAAGAGAAACAGCCAGAGAGACGGTTAAACACAAACAGAGAAATTAGCCTGATTTCCGAGTAGTATAAGTATCACGTATCCATCTTAACCCACCACTTTAGGAGCATGATCTTTTGTTGTCAGGATGTAGTCAGGAGAAACACATGCCTGTCCATTGTTGCAACCCCATTTTCCAGCAATTATCCGCCTAACAGCAACCTTAACAGACACAAATTTACATGTCAGCATTGGGCGAATGAAGTCAGCTGCTCTAATGCAGACACTGTAAGCATCTGGCTGAAGAATTCTAATGGAATAGACTGGAAAAAGCACTATCAAGTACTCGCAAATTAATGCCCGAGTCCACTACAGCAGGAGATTTTCCCCCCAGCTCCAAGACTACAGGCGTGAGGTGTTTTGCAGCTGCTGCCATTATGACACGTGCAACTCTTGAATTACCTGAACAAATCCAGAGTCAGCCGTTTAGTGCCTTGTAACTAGGAAGATTTCACTACATGTGGGTTTAATGTTTGCCATAGCCTTTATCATGTCCGTGATGCTTTTGTTCAGACCATTTATGATGATAAGAACATTATACGGAATTTAAACATCAAACCATGGATCACAAATTGAAAGCCTAATCTCGTGCCATGCCATCATGAATAAATCAAGAGAAGCTATTTACTCCATTCCATTATTACCTCTTTCAAATGCTTGCATTTGCTTCAAGTAACTAGTTATTTTCTCACATTGTAGAGATGATGGGAAGTTTGAATTCATCAATAGATGAATACTTTGAAATAAAAACAGACAATCCAAGAAATACAAACCTGTATAAAATATTTTGTCCCATTTTTGCTCCAGCAATGCAGTTGTTTCGGCTACGCCTCCTTCTACAACTTTTATGGCAGAGCAATCTAGATATTGTTCCATTAACTTTGAGAGCAGAGATGCTGTGGCGGGAGCGATTTCTGATGGCTTTAGGACAACAGCATTACCGGCAGCAATTGCTCCAACAACTGGGTCAAGAGACAACACTGGCAAGAAAACAGACATATTTGACTGTCAGAAGGATAGTCAGGAACGAAAACATAACGAGACTATGATGAAAATTGAAGTCAGGGTGTCAACATACAAAAAGGAAAATTCCAAGCCGAGATTACTAAGATAACTCCCAAAGGCTCTGACACAATTTCAGCAGATGCAGGAAAGGTCGTCAGAGAAGTTTTTGCCTGTGAACACAGAATACTTGTCAGCTAGACAACAATGCAAACAAAAGAAGAGAATTCAGTATTCTCTGTCAAGTCTCACCTTCTCGGGTGTCATCCAGTCTTTTAGGTGTTTTAGTGCTAACTTAATCGAGTTTCTCAGCAGGGCAACCTGCACCACCGTAGCATCGTGATCAAAGAAATGCTTGAATACATGATATGCATGGCCTTAACATAGTTTAGGAATGAGACACAAAATGGCATGCATGTATCAAAATAGCAAACAAAGTAGGCCTGCTTAAATTTTCAGCATCATGATCTAAGACCCAGATGCATTAGGGATGACAACAGTATGATTCATGCCCTATTCCCAAATAACATTTAAAAGAAACACCTCTATATTTAACCCACAAAAATTTGCTCTCACTAACCAGGTACCACTACAAGAAAATGAAAGTTATGTCCTGAAACCCGTGTTTTCAACCTATGTAAGTAGTCCCAAGACCTGAGTTGAAGAGTAGGTGATTAGTTTAATGCCAAAACTAAAACCGACACAATAAATACATGGGTAGGTTGCTTTCAAGAGAAAACTGCAATGTCTTTCATAATTTCTACAGAGATTACAGCCATTTGCCATGTAAGTCAGAAATATAATTGTGAAAGCACCACATTCCTCCAAGTGGCCGAGCAAAAACTACAAAGGCAACAAGGAATGTGATGAGAATAAATGCAGCGGAGGCACAACACAAAGTAGAAGGGGAACTTATTAAACCGACAGTTCCAAAACTTCAGCACCAACATGTACTTTTCGAATTCAAGCAAGAAATTCCGAAATCCGAACTGGAATTTTCCGTATGCATCTTCATCACATAACAAATAGACGAATTCGAACACGGAAATAGAAACCACATTCAAAATCATACGCATATTCATCGATAACCGAAGCATACGATACAGTAACAATAGACACAGTAAAAAAAAAGGAAGCCAGAAGATTTGACCTCGTAGATGGAGGACTCGAGCTCCGGCTTTCCGAGATCGTCGCGGAGGGCGGCGACAATCTCCGGCTCGTGGTGGTCGCATACCTTGAGGAGGTTCTTGAGTTGAGACACTCTCCACTCATATCCGCGAGTCACTCCGGCATCGAAGCCTCGCCGTAGTCCTGTCACCAGCTCAGTCGCATCCGCCGCCTCGAACGCCTTCCCCATTCGCAGAAACCGCCTCACAACCTCAACGTATCGGATTTGAATCGTATCCAAATCAAAGGAACAAGCGTAGGAATCACAAATTTTCTGTTTGGATTCCGAGAAAAGCTGAAGTCGTTTAAAACTACGACGACGACGAAGATGATGACGACGATACGACGATGACACTGTTGATTACGACGCTACACCTTGCACTTTTCCATTTTTTTTATAATACTAAATTTTTTCCACCTTGAAATTTTGACATATAACATAACGAGCGCGTCATTATATATGACTATATGAAATATATAAAAAAAATTCAATTGAGAATCATTGCAGACTTGTCATTATTCAATAAAAATCAGGGAAAATGATATTTTCCTACACCGATTATGTTTAATGTTAAATGTGACTTTTTTCTACACGAAATTTTAATTTGATAAAAAACTACTCTAAATTATCTAATATACCAAATTGATACACGAACTACCCAATTTAACTGCAATTTTCTACACAATCCAAAAATAGTGTTAAATGTCCGTTAACTGATGACGTGTCATGCCACGTAGCATCTGACATGGTACGCCACAGGAAAATTTTGCCATTTATGCCACGTCATATTTTTTTTTAAAATAAAAAATCCAAAAAATTGCAAAAAAAAAACAATTTTTTAAAAAAAAAACAAAAATCTAAAAAAAAATGCAAAAAAATAAAATAAAATAAAAATAAAAAGTAAAAAAATACACATATATACATATATATATTTATATCTATATAGAAATACAAATATAAATATATATATTCCTATATATATCTATTTGAATATTTTTTTATTATTTTGTATATATTTATATAGAAGGATTTATGTTTATAAATTTGTATTTGTATGTGGATATATATATATATATATATATATTGTTTTGTATGTATGTATATATATATACACACAATATATACATGTATACATATTTATATATATATATATATATGTGTGTGTATATATATATAAATATACTTGTATGTATGTATATGTATATATATTTGTATAAATACATGTATATATGTGTATATTTTTTATTTGATATATATAGAAATATATATATAGGAGTATTTATGTTTATATTTGTATTTGCATATGGATGTGAATATATATATATATATATGAATTTTTTTCTTTTGTATGTATGTATATATATATGTATATACATATGTATATATATATTTATATATGTATATATATATACATATATATTTATATATATATATATATATATTTATATCTATATATATATTTAAATACATGTATTTTATATTGTTGGTTTAGTGCTCTATGATGTACTGTTTATGAGCTTTATTCAGATACATTTGATGTATTGATACTTTCTATGTATACAAACATATATATATATACATACAAAATAAAATATATATATATATATATTTATATCCACATATAAATACAAATATAAACATAAATACTCCTATATATATATTTCTATATATATCAAATAAAAATATACACATATATACATGCATGTATACAACATATATATGCATATTCATATATACAAGTATATTTATATATATACACATACATATATATATAATACATATACACGTATATATTGTGTGTATATATATATGTACATACATATATATAAAACAATATATATATATACATACAAATACAAATATTAACATAAATCCTCATATATATATACAAAATAAATATATATATATAAGAGTATATATGTTTATATTTGTACATAGATATGAATATATATATATATATATATGTATATATATGTATTTTATTTTTATTTTTATTTTTATTTTTATTTTTGTATTTTTTATTTTGGATTTTTGTTTTTTTTAATATGTTATTTTTTAAAATTTTTTGCAATTTTTTAGAATTTTTATTTTTTTAAATGTGACGTGACATGCTGACATGACAAAAATTTCCATGTGGCGTGCCATGTCAGATGCCACGTGGCATACCACGTCATCGGTTAACGGACATTTAACACCGTTTTCGGATTGTGTAGGAAATTGCAGTTAAATTAGGTAGTTCGCGTATCAATTTGACATATTAGATAATTTGGTGTAATTTTTTGTCAAATTAAAAATTCGTGTAGAAAAATATCACATTTTACAAAGTTAGTGTAGGAAAATGTCATTTTCCCTAAAAATTACAATATTCAAAGGAAGTAAAACCGAATCTAGATATTGTATAACATGTTATGATTTCATCCAATACTCTCTGCTATAAATATATATATTGAAAATTAATTTTATAGTATTAATATACTACGGATATCGCGTGTCATGTACTCGCAAAGCAACGGGGGGACTTTTGAAGCTTTGCTGGGAGTGTACTCGCGTATGGGAGCGTATCATGCACGCTCTAATGGATTGTTTTCTCTTTGAAGAATGTTTTCGTAAAAATCTCGTATTTTACGGAGGTTAGGCGAGAATTTTATGGGTGACGGTTGGGCTACCAGCTTATTTGGTCAAGGCCTCAAACCGAATTTCACCGTCTACTCGGTAGACAAATATATATATATATATTAGGGACAAATCCAAAAAAAAAACCTTCAAATTTTCTAGTTAAACCAAAAAAACCTTCTAATTAAAATTTTTCATAAAAAACTATCAACTATTAATTTTGAACAAAAAACTATTAACTATATAAATTATTTAAAAATAATATTTCACTTTAAAAATATTATAAAAATCATTAATTATTAATTGTAATAAAAAATTATCAATTATTAAAATATAAAAAAAATATTAATATTTGAGAGATTTTAAATTGAGTATATTTTATTGGTTGTAAATATTATATTTAAATTTTTTATATATATTATTATTTTAGAGATTGCAAATTATCTATTTAATTTTTTCATAAATTTATATAATAATTTTAATAGAAAAATCATCAACTATTTGAAATCTCAAAAATATTCTATTTAAAATATAGAAACCTATTACCAATAAAATATACTCAATTTATAATATTTCAAATATTAATATATAATAAAATTTTAAATATAGATTTTACAACCAATAAAATGTATTGAATTTTAAATATAATATTTGTATACAAATTTTATTGTACAGAGATGTTTATAAATAATTATATAAATTTTAAATATTACAATATAATAAATATTATGTTTTTATTATGATCTTTAGAATTATATAATTTATATATATATATTTATTCAAATTTTATAGATTTTTATAGTAAATTTAAAACAAAATATTTTTTGAATAATGTACATAGATGATTAACTTTTTATTAAAATTAATAATTGATGATTTTTTATAATAAATTAAAAGTGAAATATTATTTTTAAATAATTGTATAGTTCATAGTTTTTTTTTCAAAATTAATAGTTGATGGTTTTTTATGATGAATTTTAAGTAGAAAATTTTTTGTATGTAAGTGGAAAATTTGAAGGGTTTTTTTTTTGGTTTGTCCCTATATATTAAGCATACTGTTTCAAATATAATTAGAAATATTTGGTCTTTTTTTTGTTAAAGGAAATATTTGGTATTTCGTGTCAGTGTCCTCAAGTTAGCTCCGTGATCCTCTAGAACTGTCAAATCAACGTTACTTTTTTCTATCTATACATATATATATATATATATATATGGACAACACGAAATTCAATCGAATAGCTCAGAAAAATTAAACATAACCAAACAATGGAAATTAACCATAATTAAATGAAAAAGGATGCGGAATACAAATGATGGCATGCAGGAACAATATAAATAGCAACAAAAAAAGAAAGAAAATTACAGCCATTGTGAAAACATGAACCATGGAATTTAATTGGGAATTTTGTTTTAGAGGGGCATTCGTATCAATTTTCTCAGCAATTACTTTTGGTTAGATTCGATTTAGTCGGTTTACTTTTTTTTTTAGTTGGTTTGTAATTTCGAATTCTTATTGTTCTTTTATTGTGTTGAATTGTTTTTGGCGTCTGAGTTTGAAAACAAGTGAGAAAATTGTTGAAAAACAAAACCAAAACTCTTGCCTTAACAAAAATGTCAATGATACAGGCATTGAGTGCGGAGAATAAGGTTGGGTTTCGTGTATCGGCCATCATATACTCAAATTCAAATGTATGGTATAGGTGTAAGAGAGTAATGATCTTGTTTGCAATTGGATTACCAACTCTGTTTATTCAGGAAATTGAAAGCTTACTAGTTTGCAACAGGGTTGGGTATTTTTACCCGAGACCCGCGGGTTTCTGGATATCCTGTCTCGCGAATACCCGGATTGTATTATTCTATGAGATAACGAGATACATGTCGGGTTTTTATCGCACGAAACCCGAGTTTTGGGTTTCGGGTTCGAGTTTTAATATATCTGCACGGATTATCTCACGGATATCCGGAAATTATAAAAATTATAAAAAAACCCCTTATTTTAATCTATTTACAAAACTATCTATTCCTAAAACGTAACCCTAACCCTAATTATCTAACTCTCTGTCTCTCACTTCGCCACTCGGTCTCTCTCCCACTCGCGATTTGTTGCACCTCCGCCCTCCATCACTCTCGACTCTGGTCGCCTGAAACGCTGAGCTCCTCTTGTGAGCTTTCCGGTTGTCGTCGCCTGAGCTTCAGCCTCCATCATCGCCGTGCTCTCTGTTCGTTCGCCTCTTCTCTCTCTCGGTAAGGGCTTCTCCCTCGTCTCTTCCTTGCTCCGCTTTTGTTGTCGCCTGATTTAAGTGTTCTCCTTGTTACAGGTTGTCTTCGCCTGAGCTTCTCCCTCGTCGCCTGAAACGCTGATGTCTTCTCCCTCGCCGTCTGTCTTCGCCGCTTCTGTTCGACCATTTTCTTTCTCTCCCTCGGTAAGAACCTCTCCCTCGTCGCCTTGATCTCGGGTTCCCGATGTGGTCGGGTTCGCCGCCTCTGTTCGACCAATTTTTTTTTTCTGTAGTTGTCTTCCTTGTTCATGTATTGTCTGTGTTTATTGTTGTTTCTTTCTCTTTTGGTCTGGACAGTGGACGTTTGGGAAGTAGACTTAGGCATTGTTAATAAATCATTCCATGATATCAATGTGTTCTGAAAATGTCGATACGAGGGATTTGATAATATACACTGGAATAGAAATCAGACATTCCATGATATCTCGTGCCTTGGGTACTCGGATCTCGGGTACCCGGGCCTTATGAGATAGAGACCAAGATAAGATGTTCAAAAACCCGATGAGGCTGAGACTGAGATAGAGATGCCTTAAAACAGATGCCTTATAACATCCGGGTATCTGTCCGTGTCTAGTCCTAGTTTGCAATATACATATAAATACTTATCTTTATTATTCTTCTGCATTTATCATTTTTTTTTCTCTTTCATTTATCTTTTACACCATAAAATATTTTTAAAAATTACTTTCTAACCATTTATATTATTTTTCTAAAATTACCCATTATTATTAACTGATATGAAATATAAAAAAATAAACCAATATATCCTGTTATTTTGTTTTAGGAATTTTTCTATACATATTTGAGAATGATATTATTCATTAGATGATTAAGATCAGAATAATCGAACCAATCCTAAACAAATAACACATCCATTATCGAACTAAAATCAATATAAAAATAGAATGGTTATCATTTTTTTAAAATTGAAAAATTGAAGTAAATCATAAAAAAATAATGGAAAAAATATTTTTTTTTTTAAATGAATACTTTTGTCAATAAAAACTTAAACCAAATCAAATTCGAAACCGAAGTGAAGAAAATTCAACAAAAACCTAACAATTATATAGTTTTTTCAAAACTAAAATAGCCGATCCCTAATAGAATCAAACCGAATCCATACCAAAAACCGTATAAGCCATTCCTTTTTTTTATGTTCATCAGATTTTTTCTAATTATTATTATACACTTAGACATAACAAATCATGTATAAACTAATTGATTTTAAATAAATTATCCACATTTCCTATTTTTTTTTTCTTTGAGATTTTGTTTTTCTAAATTAGAGAACACGATATTTGTTTTTTATATTTTTTAAAATTTTGAAAGTGTAAAAAATTTCATATAATATATGAAATGTTTTTATATAATTACATTAACTATTAAAAAATTTCATATAAGTTTTCAAAATAGTATTGAAATATTTTTATTTAAAAAATGATTGATTTTATTTAAATGTTCAAATGAAAATCTTATATATGCCAATTTTGATCTAGAAATTTGATAATATTTTAATCATTTATGTTTTTGTATAGAAGATTTTAATCATATGTGGTACTAAATATTTAGTGATGTCAAATTGGGTTGGGTTTAGTGGGTTAACCCAACCAACCCATTAATGATTATATTTAGATCAATTATTTGGTCATTTTTATTTAATGGGTTTGATGGGTTTTAACCCATTAAAACCATGGGCTTAAAAAATTAGCCCAATTAACCCAATTAGCCCACTATACAATAATCATTTTATTTTAATTCTGAAAATCCAAATTCATCAAACCCTAATTCTCTGACCTCGAACAACGTTTTTTCCTTCTTTTCCAAATCACCGATAAGGTGATTCAGTTTCTTCCTTTGATAGTTGTGATTTTTGTCGAGTTTCATCTGCATTTTCAATTTCGAAAAGGTAATTCTAAACTTTGGCATGTTATTCTGTTCAACTTCGCTTATAAGTCTTTTAGTTTATGAGATATAGATTTTGTTCATACTTTTGCTACGGCTGTTGGCTTTCTACTTTCTGATTTAGTATTTATTCTTGAACTTTAGATATAATTTTTCTGCGAAACAGTGGAATCATACAATTATTGGCTTCAATTATATTTTATAATTAACGATTTTGTTCTTGCGTTTATGGGTTTTGGTCAAATTTTAGTGGCGTATGCAATCTGTTCGACTAAATGCTTGAATGAAATAGACATATTTTATCTTGTACATATATACGTATGTATATATACAAAAATATGTATGTATTTATATGTATGTATATATGTGTATGTATATATGTTTTCACGTATTATTTTTTTCTTTTACTTTATATAATATTTTGTATATGTGATAGTCATTAAAAATTAGAAACATAAGAAAGATGTTTCAATTCAATGATATTTTTGTTGTATATGAAAATTATGATTGGGTTGTAACGAGTTTTATGGGTTGATCCAACCCATTTAATTATTGTTATTGGGTTAATCCAACCCAAACCAATAATTCATAAAACCCAAATGGGTTGGGTTCAAGTGGGCTGGGTAACCCACCATGACATTACTGGTACTAATTGTAGTTTATAACTTTATATGGTCTCAAATACTGTCGCAAAATAAGGGGTTTAATAGGTATATAATTAAAAATAACAGGGTGTTTTTGCAAAATTAGCGACTACTTACAAGAGTTATAAATCTTCACCTTCCGCAAATCCATCGTCGTCTCCACCGCCGCCGGAGAGCTGCCGGAGCCAACTCAGCCAAGGTAAGCTTCTTCTTCTTTGTATTCTCTCCTCCTTCTCCGTCGCCACCTCTTCTTCCGCTCCGTCAGGTCTTCTCCTCAATACCCCTTCCCGGTGAGGATTACCACCTCTCCTTTTACCGCGGGGAAGAGTTTGGCTGCGACGGCGGAGAAAATTGGCGCCATATGAGCATATGATTTCCGAATGTTGTTCTTTCCGGATCTGAATTCGTATTATATGCGCAATCAGGGTCGTGTTTGGATGAGCGTGATGTATCTAGGGTTTCCAGATAAACGGATTTGTTCGACGTTTTTGTGTCTAACTTTTTACCTGTTCCGAGCTGTGTGATTAATTGGCGGATTCAGCTTTGGGCGACTAAATCAGTGATTCAGTTTGTTGTAGATGGATTTGAACTCGAGGAATTTCGCTGAACTCTTGACCAAAATCGAAGCCGAAGCTGATGATTTCTTACTTGCGCGTAGTCAGGTTCTCACAAAAATCTTCCTTATATATTGTTGTGTGGGTGTATAATAACGTTCTCGATGTCAATGATCGTTGTCTGAATGAAAAGCCTTTTGTGAAAGTCAAGTTTTGGAGCTAGTTCATTGCTGTGAACTCCATGTCTTCCAGAGCATATACGATGTAACTGATAGAATTTGGTGTCTAACCATTGGGATCTTGCAATATCTAACCATTGGGATCTTGCAATATTTGTTCAGATCGTTGAGAATGACAAGGATAGAAATGCAAACCGAGAGGCTCTTACGGCACTGCGGAAGAGAGCTCGGACCACCAAGACCAGCGTTCCTTCCTCTTTCGAGTCTATAATGAAGGATGTCGGTGGGAACACATTGAAACCATTGGTGAAAGAAGTTTGCTCGATGTGCGGGAATCACGATTCCAGTGAGCCCACGTGGATGATGCTTCCAGGAGCTGATCTTTTCGCCGCAGTCCCGTTTCACGCCGTTCATACAATACTGGAGAGAGGTCTGTCCCCTCAACACACAGATTGACTGAAATTGTTTCGCATTATAAGTATTTTACAGTGAGGCAGCTCTTATTCGGCTGAGAAATGGTGGTTCTTGTTCTCGAACAGATCAAGAGAGACTGGAATTCGGATCTAATAAACTACAGAGCTACGTGAAGGAGAAGGCCCTCTCTATATCGGAATTGGGCGCACTGGCTGATAGTACGTGCCCTGGAATTATCAGGTCACTAGTGACATTAACGGACAAACCCAAGTAAAGCTCTCACTCCCTTGTGTAAACCATTTAAAAATCTCTCGAGGAACAGTGTTCTTCTCCGAGACATGAGTTCTGTTTTGGCGTAGGGACACACACGGATAATGTGCAAAGGAGAGGACAAAATCTTCTATACATGGAATCTAAAGTGAGATCTGAACATGGGGAGGTGAAACATCTAGTAGGGGGGAGTGATCTCTTGTCCTGCCTTAACTTAGACTCCATTTGCATCTCCGGTTAAAACCCATGGCTAAACGAAGGATGTATATTAGTGCGGAAGAAATAAAATAGCCTGAACCATCTTTTCCCCCTCATTAACATGTGATCATCCATTTAGTTATGCATTACCTTTTTGGGTACAATATCTCTGAAAAATGTTAATTGTGTAATAGTGAAAGGTGGATACATATGTTTTCGTAATTACAGAAACGTCATCAAATTTGTCTTTTTTGCATTAAAATTCATCTCATCTCTCGTCTCTCGTCTCTCGTCTCGACTCTCCTGTGTGATGGTGATCTCTACGTTTCGGTCAGCTTTCAGCTTGTTCGGTCCCTCTTATTCACCCCGATACATCTATTCGATTTTACTTTCATCTTATTTGTTATACCCGAGTATCTAACATATAAGTAGAATAAATCTAATTTATGTAGTTCAACAGTTTTACAGAGATGTAAAACGTTTGTTTAGTCTCAAACTCGAGAGAGAAGCGAATATTTTAATCACATAATTTGTTTTCGATTTTGAAATTAGTTTAGATCTCGAAAATATTTGGTTATAAAAAAAATATTCGTAGAATAACGAAGTCCAAAACTTATAATCCAAATTCAATTTGTAATTCAACTAATCGAATAATTCGTATATTTCTCTATGAACATTACATAAATCTAACAAAGAAAATTACAACTCCACTTTCTTTCATTTCTTAGAATAAAATATTCCGTGTTAATTTTTGGTTTCATTATTAATTAACAAAAGCATATATAGTAGTCAAAAAGCAAAGTCAAAATTGTTTTAAAAAGGAAAACAGAGGACAAATTGAATTTGATGTCAAATGAAAAGAAAAAAACAAATTCTACACAGCCAATATGGCAGGCATATAAGTTTTACCAAAAAATATGGCAGGCATATGAGTTGGTGGGGGCATAAAATAATAATAAAACGTCGTGGTAGTAACGTGGCTTTTGGGGATACGTTAAGGACGATAAATCCCGGGTGCAGGAACAACTTAAACCCCGCTCCCAAACAAGCCCCCTTTTACCCTAGCGACGCGCATCGCCGTTGATCTTCTTCCGAAGCCAAGAACAGGGTCCATATGGCAGAGCGTGTGTCCGTCACACTTAATCCCAGCTTCATTTCACCTCCGACGACGGCCATGGCTTCTTTCAGCGGCGTCGCTGCTTCTCGCCTCCTTTCCTCCTCATCTTCCTTCTCCAGAGCCAGACTCGCTTTCTCCGTTTCGTCGTCATCATCTTCTTCTTCTGTGTCGTTCGTCAGATCTCTCGTCTCTTCTCCGATTGCCTCTCCATCGCTCTATCCGGTACTCCTCTCTCTGTATTTATATGTGTATATATGTATGCATACAAAGGAACCGTGAGATGTCGCGTACAAGTCTGCTTTCTGAATCGCCATTTCTGTTTCGAGTTTTTTTTTTTAGTTTGATTTGGATCATAGGTTTTTGTTATCCTCCTTCCTTTTCAGTTGAGTTTTTTTTAATATCTCCGACCTGATTGTGTTTGTTTGGTGGATTTCAGAGTAGATACTCGGTTACTGCGTTGAATCGGAGCTTTAGTGCCGCCACCACGAAATGTGCTACTTCGGATCCTGATCAGTTGAAGAGTGCTAGAGAAGACATCAAAGAGCTGCTTAAAACCAAGTTCTGCCATCCTATTCTGGTGCGTTTATTCTCACTCGGATCCTGTTGCATACGAATGTGTTGATCCATCTATCGACGTGGAACATACTCTTGCTGTTTTGACAAGAGCCGGATGTTTCATCTGTTTAAGTGGTTCTCTGATACTGTTCGGCTATTCATTATTTCTGGAACTGAAATTGCTTTTAGGACTGGAATTTGAAATGGGAATAGAGGTCTGAGAAATGATTGGAGTTGTGTATCCATTTGCTATGCAGGTCTTTATGCGAAACTTTCAACTTGTTACATCCTTTTTTTGTTGTTCTTTCTCTTGGTACTTCATAATCCGTTGCTGCTTTTTAGTAGACTGCAACAAAACTTGAGTACTTTTGGGTCCTTATCGAAAATGTGTCACAGGTTCGTCTGGGATGGCATGATGCTGGCACATACAACAAGAACATCGAGGAGTGGCCTAAGAGAGGTGGAGCTAATGGGAGTCTTAGGTTTGAAGTAGAGCTTAAGCATGCTGCCAATGCAGGTAAATTTTTGTTTGTGCATTATTTTCCGTTTGTTTTACTTGTTTGTTTTTCCGTTCTTCTTAGGCTTGTTGTTTTCAGGTCTTGTGAATGCCTTAAACCTTATTCAGCCCATCAAAGACAAGTACAATGGGATTACATATGCCGACCTATTCCAGGTTTTTGTTATCCTCCTTCCTTTTCCGTTGAGTTTTTTTTAATATCTCCGACCTGATTGTGTTTGTTTGGTGGATTTCAGAGTAGATACTCGGTTACTGCGTTGAATCGGAGCTTTAGTGCCGCCACCACGAAATGTGCTACTTCGGATCCTGATCAGTTGAAGAGTGCTAGAGAAGACATCAAAGAGCTGCTTAAAACCAAGTTCTGCCATCCTATTCTGGTGCGTTTATTCTCACTCGGATCCTGTTGCATACGAATGTGTTGATCCATCTATCGACGTGGAACATACTCTTGCTGTTTTGACAAGAGCCGGATGTTTCATCTGTTTAAGTGGTTCTCTGATACTGTTCGGCTATTCATTATTTCTGGAACTGAAATTGCTTTTAGGACTGGAATTTGAAATGGGAATAGAGGTCTGAGAAATGATTGGAGTTGTGTATCCATTTGCTATGCAGGTCTTTATGCGAAACTTTCAACTTGTTACATCCTTTTTTTGTTGTTCTTTCTCTTGGTACTTCATAATCCGTTGCTGCTTTTTAGTAGACTGCAACAAAACTTGAGTACTTTTGGGTCCTTATCGAAAATGTGTCACAGGTTCGTCTGGGATGGCATGATGCTGGCACATACAACAAGAACATCGAGGAGTGGCCTAAGAGAGGTGGAGCTAATGGGAGTCTTAGGTTTGAAGTAGAGCTTAAGCATGCTGCCAATGCAGGTAAATTTTTGTTTGTGCATTATTTTCCGTTTGTTTTACTTGTTTGTTTTTCCGTTCTTCTTAGGCTTGTTGTTTTCAGGTCTTGTGAATGCCTTAAACCTTATTCAGCCCATCAAAGACAAGTACAATGGGATTACATATGCCGACCTATTCCAGCTTGCCAGTGCTACTGCTATAGAGGTTATCTTCTAAAACAGGGTTCTTTTCTTTTTAAGCGGCTTTAATGATACTAACTGATTGGCCCACATATGAAATGCAGGAAGCGGGAGGCCCCAAAATACCCATGAAATATGGAAGAGTTGATGTGTCAGGACCTGAAGAATGTCCTGAAGAAGGAAGGCTCCCGGGTAAGCTCCTCAATTTTGGCTTTTGCTTTTTCATTAGCTTCGCTGTAGTTTCTGGTTATTCTTTGGTTCCATCAGTATATCTTCTACTGGCTAGACGCAAGTCTCCTATTTTATTTTACTTCTATGGCTAGATGCGGGGCCGCCTTCACCAGCGGATCATCTCCGCCAGGTTTTCTACAGAATGGGACTTGATGATAAGGTGAAGACTGTTTAATTATCATTTCTTTTTGGAAGTAGCAATACATATCTAGTAAGGAATAATTTACAAGAGAAAATATCTGAACTGCAGGAAATAGTTGCATTATCCGGTGCCCACACCTTGGGGAGATCCAGGCCAGACCGCAGTGGTTGGGGAAAGCCAGTAACTAAGTACACGGTATCAAATCCGATCATGATTCTCAACATGATTTAAGAATTTATGTTGCTTTACTGTATAACATTCATGTCAATGATTGCATAAGAACTTGATAGAACAGAAGTAGAGATTTATGACACTACTATGCGTCGCAGAAAGATGGTCCGGGGGCATCCGGAGGGCATTCTTGGACTGTACAGTGGTTGAAGTTTGACAATTCGTACTTCAAGGTTTTATTTCAGAACAACCCTCTATCTTCGCACTTTAAAAAATGACAACCTCCCGTTCTTTTTACCCGATTTCTCACCTTTTTTTCTTCAACAGGACATCAAAGAAAAAAGAGACGAAGATCTCCTTGTCTTGCCAACTGATGCTGTGATCTTTGAAGATCCTTCATTCAAGGTAAAAGTTAAAACACAGAGCGCAAGAGACCTCCCAATGCAAATAAACTTAAAAAGAGTTACTTCTATTGAGCTAAAACTGTATGGTTACTGCAGGTATATGCTGAGAAGTATGCTGAAGATCAAGATGCATTTTTCAAAGACTACGCCGAGGCCCATGCCAAGCTTAGCAATCTTGGAGCCAAATTCAACCCTTCAGAGGTTAGTAATCCATAGTTTTTGCTTCTCTCCCGGATTTCCATTTTGCCCTGAAGAAGTAGAACCAAACTAATATATCTTATAGAAGCCATTGTCATGTCTGGCATCTAAAACTAAAATGACTCCACTAGGCAAACTTCTTCCTATTTCTCTCTCTTTATTTTCCCTGATGTGGGAGTATCACGTTATTTCACGTAAACTTGCGGCAGAAAACTGTAATCGAACTCGTGTCCTGAAGTCTAGACTTGGTTGATGGATATCATCCATTTGTCATTTGTCACTCAACAAATGAACGCAACTGGAACATGTCAGAGAAGCTGATTAACTTGAATCTTGTGTTTAGGGTATTTCTATCTGATTACACATGAGCAGGGGCGAGGCCAAGAGCCGAGACAGGGTGAGCATTTTTTGTCTTGCAACTTTGTATAGGCTATAACATCAGTCTAGAATTCCAGATGCTCACCGGCCCATTCCCTTCTCTTGGCTTCACTTTTTCCCTGCAGGACTAGGAAAAAGATCCCAACAGGTTAAAATAATACCACCAAAAGGAAAGGAGATTACAGAAGGGGGAATTAATCAGAAAGACGATTTCATTTGCTGTTTGACATATTTTGAGGTCCATGATTTCTTCCGGATTTTGCGGCTATAATTTGATCGCTGAACTATGTCGTTTGTGTTGGGCATTGCCATGGCTGTTGGTGGTGGGTTGCTTTATAAACAGACCGAGTTTTTGTTATAGCTTTAGTTCTTTATGTTCATTATTAGGATGTTTGTATATATATGCATATGTATATATATATATGTGTATGTATATGTATGTATTGATATATATATATATATATTTATATATATATATATGTGTGCATGTATATGTGTTTATATGTATGTATATATATGTATATGTATATATTTATATACATATGTATGTATACATATATGTATATATATGTGTATGTGTATATGTGTATGTATATATATATTTTTATTATTTATTTGTATGATTTTTTATTTTATTAATTAATTTATTAATTATTTATTTTTTATTTAATTTAGTGATGATATGGCACGATGATTAGGAGAGATTTTGAGAATTTTTGTCGTCAGGTATGATTTACGTTTGTCTGCATAGCGGTTATTTGACTGTAGATATTTTTTTTTTAATAATTTAAAAGTATAGAATTTATTTAGAAAAAAATTAATTGTATAGATATTATTCAATAATTAAAAAAATACAGGTATTAAATTGAGATTTGAAAAAAATACAAATATTTTACGGCGATTTTTCTCGTTAAAAACTCCATCTTTATCGCATTGTCCCTTGCGTTCGATTTTTTAATATCTAATCCGTGGATCAAATTAGATATCAGATGTTTTATTTTAAAAGTTAAAGATATCATCTGAATTTGTGTATAATATCTTAGATATTAAGATAATCTAATCTTCACTCTTGATCTTGAATAATCTCTAAATTTTGTAAGATATTAATACTATTTATTTTTTACAATTTTAACAAATATTATGAATGTTTTATAAATTTGAAGAAAAATATAAGACAATTTTGTAATTTAAAAAAGATTAAAATTAGGTTTATTATATTTAATAACTGTAAAAGAATAATTTTATAATTAATGGATCACATGTTAGAAGTTTTTGTTCGTAGAATAGGAAAATTCGAATCTATGGATTATTTTGCTCACTGTGAAATCTAGCGTCTCTTACCTAGTTCATTGTGTGCACCCTCTTTAAGTAATTAACCTGCTTCCTTTCAATTTACCAATGAAGATAAATAAAATAAACGGTGAGACAATACATATATATATATATATATATTCATGTTTTTGGTAGTTATTTGCTGTCGTTTAAAAAAAAATCCCATTTATAGTTTGGAATCAGAAATAGAAGATAGCAAGTACAGGATTTGCATGGATCTTCGAACTTAGCCTAATTGAAAAAATATCTGGTAAATTATCAATACGTATCTATGATATCAGATCAGTTCAGAAAATCTAGTTTTAAATATCTACATTTATTATCTCTTTCTTATAAGATAACTCTGCAATCACAATAGATCTACAAATAACAAGACCTTTGTACTTTCCATATTTATTATATCATCCTACTCAAATATTTTGTTTTTTCAGTGAAAAACAAGATAATGTTAAATTAAAGAAGAAAAAGCGAGTGACCAATACCAACCAGTCAAAATCGCACACGTGGAATTTCAGCCAATCACATGGCGAGTGCTTTAAAGCGTACTCTCGCACGCGTGTTTCTTTGCAGAACAATTGTTTTCTCTTGTCACGTGCGAGTGGCGTGCCCTTCTCCCAACGCGCATATCGTGGTCTCGCTAACGACGGAGTAGGCTTCACGAGAACTTTCCACTATTTCACAGCACAGAGGGAGTGAGAGTGGCGCAGAGAATGAGGAAAATGGCGAAAACTGTGGAGGCTAGGGTTTCGATGTGGTTCTGCATCTTTGTTGTCTCTCTCCTTGTGTCCTCGATCGTCGCCGATGATGCTGGCGAATCGAAGGAGTACGTCTTGACCCTTGGGCAGGGCAACTTCAGCGATGTCGTTAGCAAGCATAACTTCATCGTCGTTGAGTTCTACGCTCCTTGGTATGCGGATTATCCGTCGATTTTGTTTGTGTTTGTGAAATTTTAGTGAGATTGTTCATGTTTGATTCTGGATCTATCGTTTCTTGGTCATGGATATGTCTTGAATCTGGAAATAAATTGAGTGCGTAATCGAAGTGCATGTTACCTTGGTGTTAAACAGATAACCGATTTCATCGAATTCGATCTGAATATGATTTTTCATTTGGATGCACATGGTGAGTGAAGGGGGATAAGCAAGGATCAGTTTTTAGCACTAGTTTATGAAGGCTCTTGTTGCTTGTTTGTACTTTGCTTCACGATCAATTAAAAATAATTTTCTGTCTTTTCGTTTTGTTCTTCTATTTTTCGGTTCATAATCCTGAGTTCATTGTTATTCTTTAGGTGTGGACACTGTAAGAATCTTGCGCCAGAGGTAATAAAATTTGTCTATTATCTGGATTAAGTAATGCCAAGAGTCTTTTTTCTGTGAACATAGTGTCTATGAGCTCTGTGCTAATAGCATTACCATTCGTTTGACAGTATGAAAAGGCTGCTTCTGTGTTGAGCAGCCATGACCCTCCGATTCTTCTGGCTAAAGTCGATGCAAATAACGAAGTGAACAGAGGGCTCGCGAGTCAATATGAGGTCAGGGGTTACCCGACTCTAAAGATCTTGAGAGACGGAGGAAAGGTCGTCCAGGACTACAAAGGTCCTCGTGACGCGGATGGCATTGTGTCTTATCTAAAGAAACAGAGTGGCCCTGCATCATTCGAAATTAAATCAGCAGAAGATGCTACCAACTTCATAGGGGAGAAGAAGATAGCTATTGTGCGCCTTCATATCCGTTTCTTCCCTTTTTCTCATGTTCAACAATTGATTGGGCGGCTGTCAGGCTTATCCATTTCCCACATGTTTTTGTAGGTTGGAGTCTTCCCGAAGTTCTCTGGTGAGGAGTTTGAGAACTTCATGGTGCTTGCTGAGAAATTACGCTCGGATTTTGAGTTTGGTCATACATTGGATGCCAAACATCTTCCACGTGGGGAGTCTTCTGTGAGTGGGCCTTTGGTTAGGCTCTTTAAGCCCTTTGATGAACTGTTTGTTGACTTCAAGGTAGGGTGGAATAGTCATTATTCTTTTTTCTCGGTTTAGTGTTATTGTCAGTGTAAATCAGCTATCTCATATGCCACATTTGCAGGACTTCAAAGTGGATGCTATGGAGAAGTTCATTGAAGAATCTAGCCTTCCAATTGTCACGATCTTTGACAAAGATCCAAGTAACCACCCATATGTCATAAAGTTCTTCAACTCTGCAAACTCGAAGGTAATTTTTTACATCGTTTGCTTTCTTTTTCTGTCCTTTTCTGTAGCTTAATCCCCATAGCCTACAAGTAGGACTCATAAGCGATATAACAGGATACGGAAATTCCATTTTAGGCACTATGAAAGTAACTAAGACTTAACATGGGACCGAAATATTATCTCAACCTTTTGCATCGTGTGGTTTCTCTTATTATTGTATGTTGTCATCGACTTGTGAGTTTCATTTCGCCATATGATATCCTGAATGTCTCTTGTCAGGTATGATCTAGTGTCTCAGCAAGTATGTTTTTGAAACTGCAGGCATTGTTGTTCATGAACTTCACCGGGGAAGAAGCTGACTCATTCAGAACAAAGTACCGTGAAGTGGCTGAGCAATACAAGGGAGAAGGCTTCTGCTTCCTTTTGGGGGATGTCGAGAACAGTCAAGGAGCATTCCAGGTTGCTGTTTTGTTCTGTTTCTTATAAGTTACTCTAACGCAACTCCTTTTATATCCTTCTGAAATCATAAAACTCCAAAATGCTGCCAGTATTTCGGACTGAGAAGTGAGCAAGTACCTCTAATTATCATCCAAAAGAAGGATGGAGAGAAATACCTGAAACCCAATTTGGAGCCCGATCAACTTTCATCCTGGGTCAAGGACTTTAAGGTGAGGTTTCATTGAGCAATACATTAATTTCTGATATTTTGCGTTTTTACATTCTCCATTTTTCATTACATACAATATTGAATTTCTTTACAATGAGCTTTCCATATGTATGCATACCTGAGTCAATGAACAAAACTGCAGGATGGCAAAGTCCCACCATTTAGGAAATCTGAACCTATCCCGGCAGAGAATGACGAGCCCGTGAAAGTAGTTGTCGGTGACACTATGGAATTCATGGTTCTCAACTCGCCAAAGAATGGTACATTATACCACCAACCCATCGTCCCTTGTTATATTATCTGTGTACCATGACTGCACATCTGTATTCTTGTCAGAATCGCCTCCATAGTTGACCTCTGTGTAGACATAAATCAATGTGTGAAGTAGTATTTCGTTACGACTTTAACAGACTTCCAATTCAAAACTAAGCAAGTGTTGGGGAATCAGGAATCGTGAATTGTTTCCATCTACGCAGTAATGAGTTCTCTTTTTCACAGTCCTGCTTGAGTTCTACGCGCCTTGGTGTGGACATTGCAAGAAGCTGGCTCCAATCTTGGACGAAGTGGCCTTTTCGTTCCAAACAGACTCAGATGTCGTCATTGCGAAACTTGTAAGATTCTGAACCATTTACTTTTTCTTATACACCGATTCCATCAGAAAATATGTACATTGACCCGAGAGAAAAAAAAAATGACTCTTTACGCATTCAAAATCCAGGATGCAACAGCGAACGATTTCCCAGGGGACAAGTTTGAAGTGAAGGGTTACCCGACTCTGTATTTCAAATCGGGGAGCGGAAAGATAGTTCAGTACGAGGGAGACAGGACGAAAGACGACATCATCAAGTTCATCCACTCAAACCGGGACAAAGCGGCGGAATCTCCAACCGCTACAGCTGAGACCGAGTTGGAAGAACCGTCAAAGGATGAGCTCTGAGGGAGAGAAGGGTCGGTCCAAAATCTTGGTTGATGCGTAATAAGGAGTGGTGATTTTGTTCGTGACATAACGTTATAGCTCTGATTTCTTTTCTTTCTTTTCACGTAGAGGATCCCAGAACTCGTCTTGTTAGGTGAATTCCAATGTTTACTTAAATCATTTTTCAAGATGACATACCCCCCAAAAGCCTAAGGAATCAGATCCTAAACATGAGAAGAATTCTCAGCTATAGCGATCATAAATTCATGGTCGATGAAATCAGACGCTGATCAAAGATCATAACGACTATAGTTATGCGTTTTGCAATGTTAAAACCGTGGAAAACAGCTACTTGTCTTAAAAGTGGTTTACAAGAGGCACAGAAGAAGCACGAGGGTGAAAACGCTGCGTTTTGAGCCATCCACTTGGGCTATACAGTCAGCAAACGAGAGATCATCACACGGTGGAAGCCATCCTGTCGTTCTTGGCTCTCTTCTCCGGCGGATCAATCGACATGGCTTTCCTTTTGCTAGACCCATTGCTCTTTTTCTTGATCTTGTTCTTGCTATGATTGTCACTAGAGATGTTATCATCGCCGTCAAGGCAAATGTCGTCTTCATTGATGACATCTGTGGATCGGGAAGAGAGGGGAAGTGATCTGAGGATGTAAGGGTGAATCTTCTTCACATCAGACAACCGAACTGGCTTCAGCAGAAACTCTTCTGCCCCTCCTTCTAAACACCTGCTTTCCCCCATTTTTGATTTTATTTTCATGGAAATATTCAGAGTACACACACCCTTGAGCGTTTTCATCCTTAGATACACACACACACACATATATATATATATATATATATATATATGAGAGAGGGAAGAAGGAGAGAAAGAGATGGTACATGCTCACTCTGGAGGGTACATTCTCTGATGACATGACCACAACAGGAACATTCTTCCATGACGATGATCCCTGCCATTTTATTTGGTTTAAATGAGAGAGTAAATAAATAAATAGTAAATGTTACTACCTTGACTCTTTTGAGCAAATCATAGCCGCTCATCCCGGGCATACAGTAGTCTGTCATGATCAAGTTTACCTTCACTCCCTTCAATGTAACCCACACACACACACACAAAATTCAAATTAATTTATTATCTTTATATGAATTTAGGAAACAATTTGGTTATACATAACGATACCTTGGTACCTAAATATTTGACTAAAATATACAATGATGATTGGAGTTACCTTGTGTTGTGAAGATGATGATGATGATGATGGGGATGAAGAGGAGTCATTAAAATCATCAACACCGATATTATTAATGGCATTAAGCCCCAAATACTCCAAAGCTTTATCACCAGACTCCAAACATGTCACTACACAATCATATAATATATAAACCTACGGTCATTCGTGTTTTATCATCGCCCATCTTTTCAACGCATGCATGCATGTGTGTGTGTGTGAGAGATAGAGAGAGAGAGAGAGAGATGAAAACGAAATGACTGACCACGGTAAGAAGAAACCTTGAGGAGTTTCTCTAGAAGCTTCCTGTCAATGAAACTATCATCAACGGCCAAGACATGGAAATGCTTCTGTTCTTCTTCTTGTTGGGTCTCTGATTCTATCTCCATTCTATGTGGGGAGAGAGAGAGAGAGAGAGATTGCTATGTGAGCTTTGAGGCTTTGGCCTCTCCTAGGTTTCAATTAAGTAGTTGAAGAAGAGTAACTGTCAGAGGCATAGAGAAAGATTGAGGTGTCTGTTTCTTCTTTTTTGGGTTTCATTTTGGTTTAGAATTGTCAAATATTTTATATATCTATAATTCGTTTTACCAAAATCTGAATATATATTCAAACATTTTAGATATTAAAATTTTACGTCTAATTTATTTATAGTATAATTTTAGATACTGAATCCAAAAAAAAAAAATACTCAGGTATTCTTACATTTTCCAAACTGAATTATATATAAATATTTTTTATACTTAATAAATATCAGTAATCTTTTTATATTTAAAAAAAGAATTTGTAATTTTAAAAAATAACTTTATAATAATATAAAAAATCATGTTTTAATTATATTGAGTATCCATTTTACGTAAAACATAAATTCGAATAACACTATGTGAATAGTCTTAATTTACAAATAGAAACACATCAAATCCAAATTATTCATATACTGAGAATTAAATAATTTCTAACACTCCCTCTTCTCTCTCTCCTATTAGATTCTCTTAAATCTAGTTGGTACAACCACTCGTATTCATCTCTCTCTCTCTCTCTCTCTCTCATTCGTTTGGATAATAGTTTGATTTCAAAGCAAAATCTTGGATATCTTTTCTTTGCCCATTTCGGATCTCATTATCATGTCCCATCTTTTCAACAATTTATCATTTTTTGCCCCATTCATATGCTTTTCATTGTAATTCTCCTTGGGATCTAAAATATTATATATGCTTTTATTCTACTTTTTAATACTCTTATTATTAATTTGGGTGTTTCTATTTACATTATGATTGCATTTACTTTTTAAAAATCTACTGAACTATTGAATATGGCCTTGAATTAATCATTATCTGAAACATCTAATCCCTCTTGATTTGTGTGCTTAAAGCTTAACAACCTTAATTAGTTTTGGTTATTGTCTTTTTCCAATCAGGAATATCTAATTATTAACAGTTCGTTCCTCTTAATTAATAAATGTTGGCACACCTATTTACATAATAAAAGGAAAATTTTATTAATTGATATTTTCGTATGCTACGTAAATAAAACACTTCGTATTCCTTGAAACGTCTAAACACAACTTTGAAAACGTCACGACTAATCCATTTGACTACAATACTCGGTTCATAAAAATCATATTAGATATGGTTTTTATGTTAGATTTTGATTTTATTTAAAATCAAATTTTATCGTAAAATATTTAGTTAAAAAAACTTTATTAATTTGATTTTGAAAAACATGATCTTATCTTTTAATTGTTTCGGACATGGATATGGGTTATTGCCATAATGTTGTATATACGATCATGTGTATGTACACGATCCATACGTAGATGTATAAAGTGGCATACGTGATACGACTGTTGGACCACCACATCCAGAGATTGTCTACAGATGGGTTTCATGGAAAAGGAATCTATATCCTCTTTGTGCATGTGGTGTGAAGGTGACGTTATGAAATACAAGTGTCCAAGATTTCTTGGGCCCACTTTCTTATTTTCAAAAATCTTTTCTGGGCTCCACACTATATCTTTAGGGTCCACCTGTTTTCAATTTTCATATTTCTACCCCAATTGTTTTCTTCTGTTTACAAATCTGTCCCCATCATTACCAACGGTTTACCGAATCGAATTTCTTTCCCCGTTTAAAAGTCTAGGATTTGTCTTGTGTGGAGCCCATCGTTCGTCCCACGTTTCGTCGTATCATTGCTTAACGATTTTTTTTTGGTAATTAAAAAATTATAATTTACAAGGATTAAAATTAACGAATGTGGAGAAGAATCAAACCCAGCGCTAATGAGTTGCGGTCAAAATGTATCGATGATTCAGAAACATAATTAGATAAAACGATATTTGCTTAAAACTTGTTTAGTAAAATAAGTTATGGTTAAGTTCCTTATGTATGGGAACTATCTATTTCTAATCTCGGTTCAAGTAGCAGCTCGATCTCATATCCCAACTGAGTACTTTTGATCCTCGATCCAACAACAACTCATCTTATATATTTCTTCTAGATTCGACCTCTTCGTCCTTATCTAATAATAATAATAATAATATCTTAAAAAATTCATTATTTAAAAAACACATCTCAATAACGGCATAATATCAAAACTATCTTTACTTTACTATATATAAACATATTATTTTTAACCTAATTTTTTGTGACAAGTAAATAATTGTCACACTGATAATACAAATTTAACGGTGACCAATACGATAAGTGTGACCATCATATAAATTAACAGTGTAACTATTATAATCAGTGTGATCCTAATATAAATCAAGATGGTTACATTGATCACATAAAAAATGAATTAGAAAGATATATTCTGAAATCCATATAGCAAACAAAGGGTATTTTGACAATGTCCCGTTTAATCCTAATTATCCAAATAAATATTTAATTTTATAAAAAAAACTAACATCGCAATATTTTTTTTTATCAATTTATTCATTTTGATCTCCAATTGAAAATATATTAACGCTATTAATATATCATCGTAACAATTAGTTAAGGACTTTTTATATGCAGAAAAGTAAGAATTAACGCAATTGAAAATCCCAAAAAAAAATATTGCATAGTTTGTCATTCATCATCTATATATAAAATAAAAGTATATTTTCTATTATTTATTGAAAATGAAGTGTAGTTATTGTTGGTGGGCCCTCAAAGATCACGAGAAGTTCTCCTAAGAATCTTGGGTGTAATCTTCTTTGATCTCCGTTTTTTGAAAGAGTTATGGAAAGATCTTTTGACATTGCTCGATTTTATTTTATCATAAGTTTCGTGTGTTATATTTTACGAAATAAGTTTCTATATTCAGTTAGTTATAAAAATGTTGACTTATGCGACACAAAGTTTTGTGGGTCCATTTTATTTAAATTATGATATTCGTCTTTGCAAATTGCGTAACATTTTACCTTAACCAAGTCGCGTATCTTAAAAAAAATATTCCCAAACATGGCACACGAATCTGAAAATATTATTTCATTTTGATTTTAGCTCGGCTCATATTACATCCAACAAAAATAGTAAATTAATGGTTTTTTCGTTCACTTTTTTTGCCGTATAGTATAATTTATGTACAATAAAAATTATCTAATACGGGTCGTTACTCGTTAGCACTTAGCAATTATATATGAGTGTACGATTTTGGAGATTACTGAAAGAGCATATGAATAGTAGCAGTTACATGCATATACATAGATCTATATATAGATGAGCCTGATTGACGTTTACTTATTTTACCCAAATTCATATCGAATAATTAGGAACTGTCATTTTGGATAAATAAAATTGAACAACAATAAACATATCTCTTTTGAATGTAAGAAATATTTAGTATATTTTTGGAAAAATTGTTTAAAAACATTAAATATACATATATAAATATATATATATACATGAATTTTGAAATTTTTGTATGAACTTTTCAAATATTACTTCAAAGTGGTATCCGTTTAAGTTTTAATGACATTAACCTTCACATATCAACGCTTCATATACAAAAAATATTAAATCATCGCTACTATGTGGAAAAATACTATATATTTATATATTCATATAAAAATAAAAATATATAAAAAACATAAAATACATACATAGACATATATGAATATATATACATATAAATATACATAATACACATACATACATATATACACATAAAATAAATATATATGTAATGTTTATATATGTGTATAAGAATGTGTGTATATATGTATATATATGTGTATATGTATGTGTTTTATTTTTATATGAACATATTTATTTATTTATTAAATTATAGTTTTTCAATGTGGTAGCTATGATTTGGCAATTTCCGTTCACATGGGTTTATGCAATATTTGAAAACTTATTATATTTTTGTAGAAGTTTCAGAGTTGGTGTATTTATATGGAATTTTTTTAACATTGTGTTTTTTAGACAATTTTTACTATATTTTTAAAATCAAATTAATTTAACGTCAATTAAATATTAAAATAATTAATTTTTTAAGAAAATAACATTATCGTTAAAATAACTATTTGTAATGAAATTAAGTTCGAGTGTAATTTAATTTGGATCAAAATGAATGAGAATAATTATAAAACCAAAAACATGAAAAAGTAATGGAAAGTATAAAAGGGCCTAACTCTCTAGCCCTAAAATCAACACATTTATGATAAAATGAAGATATGGACAAAGGGATGTGATGCAAAATCATTTTACGAAGCGTGCAAAATCCCAAAAGAAAAAAAAAAATCACAAGGAACAGCGAAAATAAAATTCTTTAAAGGCAAAAGGCAAAAAGAAACGCTTTGTTCCGCAATTCATCAGAAATTTCATGCGTGAGAAATTCGAATGCCTAAAAAGAAGAAGAAAATAAATTTTAATGAAATTAATATTTTGCTCTGATATTCAAAAAAAGAAAATAAAATCTTTCGCTTCAATGAGCATTTTTTGCCACGCCGAAACAAACGGATCTTTTTCACACGCGAAATTAAAACCCTAAACTTTCTATTGATTTTTTTATTCAATTAATTTCAAATCAAATTTGGTTTTGGATCGTTAATTTAAAATATTATCTAAATCTAAAATTAATATGTGATCTAATTTCTAAAAAATATTAAATAAAAATCTAGACATTTTATGAAAACCAGATATTATACATGTATGTATGTATGTATGTATGTATAATGGCATGTGAAACATAATGGTTATAGCAACAACAATAAAACTGGTTCATGTTCAGAGGAAGCAAATTCAGATTTGTTGCTTTTATCTCCAAAATAAAATCTATTAAAAAATGGTCAACAATGAATGATAACAAGTGAATTGAGTGATTATGAACTTGAACGGCTGCAGAAATAAGAAATAACAAAGAAAAACTTTTGAGAGCAAATCTAAGAGGCCATTCATGAGAATTTATGAGATCAAAAGATCTTTATTTTAAAATCGGTCGATAATTATATTTATATACAAAAAAATATACCCTTTTTAATTCTACATTTTTTTTCCCTTCCTTGCTAGATGTGGGTAACTCTTTATAGAATTATAGAGATATATTTATAAAGATGTTTCACGTGGGTCACCATATGTGTTCGATGGATCAAATACTAAATTGGCTTCATTTACGGAGTTAACATTACAAACAAACCAACGTATAGAACTAATCGCGAGGAAATAAAGCAATTTAAAAACCCTAGTCCTTTGTTTGATGGAGAAGGGACTTTGAGGGAAAACACGAGTTTATATGATATGACTGGATCAATAAGACCTATATACAAAGACTGATCACACGCCGAAAATTTACCTAATCATCGCGTTCGAAGAGTAGCAATTAGGATCCTACGTTATTAAAAAAGAAAAAAGATATTTTTGGAGATACTCTAGATTTCGGCTTGTGTTGCAGAAAATCGATTGTGGCGCTCGTGCCATAGTTCATATACTGCCACCTGTGCAATAATCTTGATCAGCTTGCCTCTACTTCTACTTGGGTCATGACCGACTGGGTCTACCCAGGGGCAAGGTCTGATAACGTTGGTGGGGGTGATCGATGGCCAACATTTTCCATCAAAGTGTGCGTTTCCGACGATACTGAACACAATGGACAGATTTGATCAGCTTTAGGCCCTCATGTGATGAGTTGGGAGCCAAGTTTGCAGGGCTTGCCACTGGAGAAACAGAACCACACTAGCTCATGCCAGAGAATAATGAAGACAACTGAAATACAAATATTTTAACTAATTGAGCATTACCAAAAACATTTATTTGGAGTTTAACAAAAACAAACATCTTTCATCATCTTATTTTTAGAATATTCTCTTTTTGTTCTTTATAAACAAATTTTCGAATTTATTGGATTTTTATTAGTGATATTCATCCCGACTTTTTTAAACAAAATATAATCATTCGTGAAATCTTCCTTATATCAGTTTTAATCGTCACCGCCTTAATTTAAATTTACGTCAAAATTAATTAATTCGTACACATTGATATCCACTAAGATTCAGATTTTGACATAAACTTCAAATAGCTTCTATCTATTCAAAATAAACTATAGTAACATTGATATGCAATAATAATAGTGATACGAATAATAAGCCCTTCTGCAATGCAAAGTATGAATAACAAACGTATCAATGGAACCATATCGCCCAATCTTCTGTTTTTGATATTTTTGTAATGTATAGTTTTTTTTTTTTATAATTTTCTGAAAAAGTATTTCTACATTATTGTCGTAATATATGTTAAGTGGGTGGTTGAGAAACTAATATATGATTATAAATTTTTTTAATGAATTAATAATTTAATATCATTTTTTTTAAAACGCTGATTATATACCCTGCCGGTAGTATTAAGTGTTGGTATTTGGTTCGATTATTCACAAAGCGAATTGATTCAACCCGAGTAACACTGTAATTGAATCCAATCCGGTATAAAATCGAATGATTTTGATATTTTATAATTGAAAAATCGAATCCAAACCGTTTGAACCAAATAGAAAAAAAATAAAAATCATAATATTGTTTTTAGAAAAAATTATCATAAAAATCGAACCCTAATGGAATCTAATATAAAACTTGAATGCATATAAATTTTTCTAAAATCAGAATCCAAATAAAACCGAACACGAACCAAAACCAGAAATACCATGGAGGCATGGAGGACAACAGCTATTGTTAGCATATCTACTCGCAGTCTGGCGCGTGCGTCACACTCGCCTTACCTATCTCTTTTCCTCAGACGATGAGAGGTTTTTGTCAACGGTCAGAGCCGGCGATTCCCTACAGATATCCTTCTCGTAAGTCCCTTTTCTCATTGGTTCTTATAATTCCCTTAATCCGATAAGCCACATGCCCTCTCTCTCTCTCTCTCTCTCTCTCTCTCTCTCTCTCTCTCTCTCTCGCGTCCGAAGGTTTGGTAAGTCTTAATTCATGCCGGATTCTCTAACTTCATTGAAAACTTTACATCAATTTATTGAGAGAAAACCATTTATTCATCTCTCTTTCTTTGTCCTGGTTGCTCTTTCTCGGTATTCAAATTAGGATCTCGGCTTTCATAGACGCGCGTCTCCTTGTAAGTTTAGCTGAATTCCGACTTTTTTTCTTCTTCTTCTTTCGATTGGGTATCGGAATCCTTTTCGGTTTTTTTCTTTTCTCAATTATTTTGTTTATGGGTTTTCTAATTTACAGTAGAAATGAGCTTTCTTTTATGTCAATTCTCTGCCACTGATCAAATCTTCGAATCTGGGTGTGATTGCAGATTCATGGCTTCGGCTACATTCAACGCCCCTTGCAACTTTCCGGCGATCAAAGGATTTGAATCCAAGAGCTGCGTCGGCCTGAAACCGACAGTGAATAACTTGAGGGTTAGTCCTGTCCGAACAGCAACCGTTCCTCGCCGTTGTCTTGTCGTGAAGGCGAGCGAGTCAGGCAACGGACACGCCAAGAAGCTAGGAAGGAGCGACGCCGAATGTGAAGCCGCTGTTGTCGCCGGAAATATTCCCGAGGCGCCTCCGGTGCCGCCCAAACCAGCAGCTCCGGCCGGTACTCCGGTGATTCAGCCTCTCGTAAGTAGTTAGATTCCCTTTGTTTCTGTGAATTCGAGTGTTGCAGTAACTTTGTAGGAGTATATTTTCTATAGAATATCATATGATCTGGTGAGGGAAGGTTACCTGTTATAGTCTTGTGGATTCATTCCATGGAATTTGGATACCTTCATTTTGTTCTTCCAAGAACATTCTGTTAAAAAGTAAGGCTGTCCGGTTTCTTGTATGATCAAAGACTTTAGGGGTTAGTAGTAATACATCTAAATTCATGAAAAAAGATCAAATTTCTTCGAAATTTGGAAAACATTATGTTCCTAGATGTTTTGGAGTTGTAAGGTTAAATCTTAGAAAGGTTACTGTTTATCTTTTGAAATGTCACTTATGTGCTCAGCCACTTAGCCGACGCCCGAGACGTAACCGCAAGTCCCCTGCTTTGAGAGAGTCCTTCCAAGAAACTAATGTCTCACCCGCAAATCTTGTATACCCAGTTTTCATTCATGAAGGTTGGTTCTTTTGCATCGAGATTTTTCTCTCCTCCTCTCTCGGATTCTGTCATGAGCGCGATATGTTTTGGAGACTGGCAGGTGAGGAGGATACACCTATTGGAGCAATGCCTGGGTGTTACAGGCTTGGCTGGAGACATGGCCTTGTGGAAGAGGTGACTATGTATTGGTTTTACCGATAACTTTTATCTCTATTCTTGAGAGCATTTTGATTTCCATTGGACACTTCCATACAAGGATAGAGCATATTTACTGTGATTTGTAACCGTGTTTCCGGTTTCCATGAAAAAAGGTTGCTAAAGCCCGAGATGTCGGTGTAAACAGTATTGTACTGTTCCCCAAAGTTCCCGATGGTTTGAAGGTACGATTTCTATATTTCTCTGAATATTTAGCGTAGCCGTGTATTTAACCCACCTGTTTTGGCTTCCCTTGTAGTCTCCAACCGGGGATGAGGCATATAATGATAATGGTCTGGTGCCTCGGACGATTCGTCTTCTCAAGGACAAATACCCAGATCTCGTAAGATAGATTTCGTGGTTTCCTACAATATTCTTGATGAGGAGCATGATGGAATCCTGACGAATGTTCTTTCTTTCACAAGGTTATCTACACTGACGTCGCTTTGGATCCGTACTCTTC